GCAACTTTACTTCTTTTAAATACTTCCACCCGAAAAGCAGAGTGATGGAGTGACAGAGAATGAGGGACCTTTCAGTTGCCAGTTCACTTATCAGAGGGCTGTGACTGCTCCAGAAACCCAGAACTCCACCTAAGTTTCCTGTGTGCCAGGCAGAAACACACGTACTTTTGGTTACCTTCTGCTGCCTTTCCAGGTGTGTTTGACAGAGTACTGGCTCAGAAGCAGAGCCAGGACTCACAGGTGTTCACTTGGACTGCTGCTGTCCCAAGTGGCTGCTTGATCATTGATACTATAACAATGGCCCCAGGCCCGGTGTGACGACTCAGTGGCTGAATCCTTGCTTTGCATGTGCCAGGATCCCAATTGGGTGCTGATTCATGTTCCAGCTGCTCCACTTCCCATCCAGCTCTCTGCTTGTGGCCTGGGAAAGCAGTCGAGGACGGCCCAAAGTCTTGGAACCCTGTGACTGTGTGGGAGACCTGGAGGAAGCTCCTGGTTTCTGATCGGCTTAGCTCTGACCATTGTGGCCATTTGGGGAGTGAACCAGCAGACAGATCTTTTTTGTTTCTCCTTCATTCTATAAATCTGCCTTTCCAATAAAAATAAATAAATTTTTTTTAAAAGGGGCCCCAGAAGCATTTTAAGCATCACGTTTAGCATCTAATGAGTTCAAGTATCTTTAAAACACCATCTTAATTTCTAATATAATGTTAGTAAATGGAATCCATATAAGCAAATTCTCTTAGGAGCAGAGGCTAAATAATTTTGAGACATGTAAATGAATGTCCTGACACTAACCAGTCTGAGAGCTGTAGTCCCACAGAATCCTTACTAAAACTGAAAAGGATCTACAAAATGTGGATGGTCCTTAAAGAAATAGAATCCCTAACTTTGAGCTTTCTTCTGTGGAGATTCACTGACTCAGTTGCGTTCATTCATGAAACTTTCCTGTTATTCTAGAAACAAAGTAATTTACACGAGGAAGAACAGAATTGCCATGATATGAAAGGCAGGCTTAAGAGTGAACATCTGGACCCAGGTCCACCACCACCTTTTTTTTTTTTCCAGTTTATTTGAAAGACAGATACCCAGAGACACACCAACGAATCTTCCATCTGCTGGTTCACTTTTTAAACAGTCAAGTATGGTCCAGGCTGGAGCCAGGAGTCACAAACTCCATCTTGGTCTTTCACATGGATATTAGGGCCCAAGCACTTGGCTGCCATCCTGGATGCATTAACAGGAAGTTGGATTGGAAGCAGAATAGATGGGACCTGAACTGATGCTCTGACAATAAATGCTGATGTTTCAAGTGGCAGCTTATCCCACTGTGGCCCAATACCAACACTGTCCACCTGTTTCTGATGACTTCATACTGAGTCTACTTCAAACACAGTGAAAGAAAGCTTTCGTTTCTTAGGTGGCCTGAATCTTCAGTTCTTGAAAAGCTACCTACAGATCTTTTCTGGGCCCTCTGGTCAACTCCTTTTGTGTTTATTATGTAGCCCAAACACACAATGGAATGAGCCATGGATTGTCCAGGGATGGGTGTTCATCTTACACCTTTCTCCAGCTGGTGACTGGTACAGAACATTAGGACACACGGACAGGCTAAGGATCTTAGGTATGTCACATCTTTTATACATGCCAGAAGTGGAACCATGGAGGCTTCTGGAACATTCTCCTTCAAAAGTGGCCACAGGAAGCAGCTCTTGTTTCTGGATGATGATGCACATGAAATCCGGAGCAGCAGAAAAAAGGGAGAATTGAGCGAAGCACAGACTCACAGTAACAATCTCAAGGCCTGGTCTGTCTTCATTTTGTAGCGAGGCAATTCCCCGTTTCTAACTTCTGTCCTGGGTTTTTTCTTGCAGCAGTAAGCATTTCAAGTCAATCAATATTACAGAACCATTTAAGGAAATGTTGCTTTATATTGCAGATGTACAAGTCATTCTCAGATTTACAAGTTAGACATACCTGCATTTTGTCTAACATAGGTATACATTGTCCATTTGCACCACACTGGGGACCACTGAGATACTTGTGTGGACTGTATCCTGTGCTGGCCTGCCACTGAGTAGTGGCAGGTGGTGTGTGCTAACCCATTACGCACACAGAGGCGGTACAGGGCATGGCCCATGTTTAGTGCTGTCCGAGGATGTTGGTTTTATCTGATAAAGGAAGGTCCAAAGCATCTGGTTTCAGATGGGACAAGGGACCTAGAGTATTTTCACACAGGCCTGTTGTTCGGGTATTCATACAACATTCTTGGAGGCAAAAAGCAACCTTGGGCTTAAGGATGACCACTCCCTTTGGGTGCTTTCCTGGGTGTGCTACTGCAGTGTCTTGTCAAAGTCCTCCAGACGAGGCAGATTCATCCGTCCCCACTTGTTATTCATGTTCATCTTCAGAAATCACAGAAATTGAAGCATCTTTTTACATCGAACTGTGTTATTCCAAGATCTGAACTTTATATTTGGCTGCTTAAGCACATATGAAAGAGGGAAATGAGTATGTTGGTATAACAAACACTGACTGAATCCCCAAGCAAGCTAACATTATTATGTCTTGAAAGAAAAAAAATTATTTGAAAGGCAGTTAAAAACATCTACCCACTGGTTCAATTTCCAAAAAGCCTCAACAACTGGAGTAGGACTTGTCTGAAGCCAGATGTCAAGAGCTTCATCTGGGTCTCCCACACAGGAGCAGGGGCCAATGCACGTGGGCCATCTTTCACTGCTTTGCTGAGTACAACAGCAGGGAGAATCATCAGTAGAGCTGTCAGTACTTGAATTGATACCCATACGGATGCCCTGCAGCGACTTTGCCCACTAAGCTACACTGCTAGGCAACACGACGCCTAATCCCATCACAGGGGATGTGCTCTCAGGATGACAATTCATTAGCTACAGGTCTGCAGAACACTTCATGTATACTTCAGGAGAAAAAAAAAACGCAACTAAATTGTAGCCCCAGACTTAGGAAAGGGTTTTGTGGGCCTGAAACTTCATGTCAATCATCCTTTGAATTTCTGGCTCTAAGAGGAATACAACTCTCACACAGAGATGTATTTTATTTAAGCAGCACGTTTGCTCTCACTCTGGACAAACAGTATCCTTTCAGACCAAGTTCCTCTGTGTTTCCAGTTGTGCTACTATGACCCTGAAAGGAAAACAGCAAACTGCTTGGCAAACCACCTGCACACTGCCCGTTCTGCTGATGGTTAAGCAACAGACAAATGGTAACTTTAAGGCCTATTCAGTAATTTAACCAAGAGGGTATGTCTATTCTCACTGTTAAGCCAGCGTGCACTTTCTTCAAGAACTGTCTGAGATCACTGGCTCAGGACAGCCTCCAAGTGCACTAAGCAGGTCAGCACCTGCCTGCTTTTGATGGTCATAATCTAAATGCTTGTTCCTTCTGCGATTAATTGTACAATGGTACACATATACATTTTTATCATGTTCTATATTCCATTTAATACTATATTTTTGGGCCCAGCATGGTAACCTAGTGGCTAAAGTCCTTGCCTTGCACACACCGGGATCCCATTTGTATCCCAGCTGCTCCATTTCCCATCCAGCTCCCTGCTTGTGGCCTGGCAAAATAATGAGGACAACCCAAAGCTTTAGGACCCTGCACCTACGTGGAAGATCTGGAGGAGGCTTCCGGCTCCTGGCTTCGGTTTGGTTCAGTTCAAATTGTTGCAACCACTTGGGGAGTGAATCAACAGATGGAGGATCTTTCTCTAAGTCTCTCCTGTCTGTAGATCTGACTTCCCCATAAACATAAATATTTTAAAGATACTGTATCAGTACATACCATTCAGATTAATACTAAAGAGAAAAACTATTATCTTTCTATCAAGAAAAGTGTAATGAAAATCCTCAAGACATTATGTACAGTCCTAAACCTTTTATTTTTTTTTCTTAAAATATTTATTTATTCATTTGAAAGGCAAAGTGACAGTGGGGATAGAAAGGGCGAGGGAGAGAGAGAGAGAGATTTGGTTGGCTCATTCTCCAAATACCCCCAAACAGGCCCAAGCCAGGATTCAGAAGCCCCACCTGGGTCTCCCCTGTGGGTGGAAGTCAGACACTGACCATCATTCACTGCTTTCAAGGCATGTTAGCAGGAAGCTGGATCTGAAGCACAGAGTAGCTGAAACTTGAACGAGGAACTCCACATGAGGTAATAACATTCCAACCTGCAACTTAACCTGTGATGCCCAAATGCCCACCTCCACTTCTGGTCTACCGTGAGCTGAACCACATGGTTACAGGTTAACGTTTCTGCTTTAAAAGGATCAACCTCAGAAGCAAGTATGTTTTAAGGATATGCCGCACAGAACTTATGGTGCATTCTAGTTTTTTCTTCATTTGACAAAAAATGGACAGAAGGCAAAATGAAAAAAAAATTTATTTCCTGTGTTTTATCCACTGTCAATACTGTATTTTTGATGCAATACATTTGCCAAAATGAAAAAAAAAAACAGCTTTTATTTTCCATTTTAAACAACTACAATATTTACAAGCTGTTTAGAGTAACACACACACTCACACACACACACACACACACACACACACACACACACACACACACAGACGCGCTCACCTCGAGTTTATATTGAATGCTGGTAAAGGCAATGAAGACTTTCCAGAGCCCATGATCAGAAAAGGGAAATCCACTGATCCTCCTCACGATGGCTTTCATAGAGTCAGTTTAATATCCTTCCTTCCATTTCCTCATGCAGAGCTCACTGCCAGACTTGGGTAAGGTTAACATCATTTTCACAATTTACCTCAACTATGAGCTTATAAAAAGCATAAGCAGACATGATTTTCATCCCCGTCCCCCCAACCCTGTTTCTATTATTTTGGTTGTAGAATCAAGCTTCAAATATAAAAAATCTTGTTCAACCACAAGTACATAAACCCAAGAGTCATTTGGAGCAGCCATCTCATTCTCTCCCATGTCTCTATTCTCAATTCCATGGTGTCATCTCCCTTGGACCGGTGACTCATCCCCTCCCAGTGTTAGAGGACCTGGGTTCCTCCTAGTGTGGCTCCACTGAATCCTAAGTTGTCAGGACAGGGCTGAGGCCTAAGAAGAAAGGTATAACCCTATATAATAGGTAGAAGTCTTAGAACAAAGTTTTCCTAGAACCTTGTAGTGACAATCAGCTCTAGTTCCGCCCTCCCCCCGCCCAACTGCAAATGCTATGCTGATTCTACAAAATGACCCAAAACAAACCACACACGGAAGCTAATTTTCCTAATTTAGACAGAATATGTGGTTTATAGGCAATAAAGGGCAATTCTTGTGACTCAAAGTAGAAAATAGATTTCCATTTCAAGCAAAGTGGATAACCCACTCATACTCTATCAAGTCCATTTGTGTAAGAATTTCTTCCAATCTCAGTCCTTACCTAAACACCCAACAGCTTAAAACTGAGGTTTTTTTTTTTAATCAACCATGTTTTTTTTTTCAAGAGAAATGAAAAAAAAAATGAGTTGGTTTGAGAATAATAATAATAATTCTAATAATAATAAAGCAGCTATATGCATCTAATTTTCCAATGTCTCCAGAGAAGTAGAACTCAGTATCTAAAGAAGACTGAAAGAGAAGGTTCAAAGCCAGGAACAGATGCCAGATGCCATCTTAGCAGCGAATGACAATACTGTGTTGCTTTGGAATTAAAGAAAAAGGCCCTGTGATAAAAAGGACATTTTCTACCTCTTCTGAATAAGTGTCCAGACAATAGCTTTATATGACATTACAAAACAAACAAAAAACAGATAGATAGAATGAATACTTAAAAAAACAAACAGAAAGGGCTTGTCCATATTCATGGAAAAGTACTTAAATATTAAAAGTAAATAATACTCTGGGCAGCTTATAATTTAGCAGCTAATAAACATAAATTCAAAGAATTCTTACACACAATCAGTGATATCCTTTTCTCAAGTCAAAGATTTAGGAGGAAGGATGTTTCAAAAATTGGCTAAAAGAAAAAGACAATTTTAGACACTAGGCAAGCCCTAAGTTTAGAAGAGCCTGTCTACTCATGATGCAGGACATCACCCCACCAGAGTTTAGAAGCAGGAGCAAGAGGCTGCTGGGAGATAAGGTGGAGCTTACTAAGGCCAAGGCATGCTTGCTCAGGTGGGGGCTGCTCTTTGTATTCTCTTCAGAGAAGCAAAGTAATCATAAACAACATCTTCTTAATGAGCTTCAGTTTCTTGCATAAAACTTGCAGTTTCACTGCCTGACATTTAGTACGCAGAGTAATTTTCTGCACCTCACCTGGGACAGCAGAAATATTTCAGAAATACTTGAAACAGTTCAAATCGTGGAATCTATTCTCCGGTAATGGAAAAACCACAAGAAGGGGAGAAACGAAGTTTACTTCCCAATTTCCTACAAGGTGAGTATCTTATCTTCAAGGATAGAAAGCATCAGCACCAGCTACACTTCCCATACGTCAGCATCTCTGGACATCTAGATCTTTGGAAAAATCAACACTTGAAAGTTTTTAAAACGTTGAAAACAAAGTGAAATCCAAAAGTTTACATCAAGGTGTAAAGTTGGAAGGGTAACCGAAAGTTTAAAATCCAGTTACTCATAACCCACTCCGGGACTGCCCTTCTCTCCAACAGCTGTGGGCGGTTGGGGGAGAAGAGGGAATGCCAGGATCCCCACCATGCAAACATTATTTTAAAGGAAATAAAAAACTAGTATTTCAAAAACTAGTATTTCAATAACATCTTTTAAATTTCACATTATGGAATTCTGAATGTCTTGGCAGTTACGGACCAAAAAAGAGAAGAAAGTTTAAGTGGAGAATCTAAACAAACGACTCAGTGTTTGGAGAATAAGGGAACAGAGCAGAAATGAGACATTTAGGAGCAATTTAATTAGTGAAAGTGCTTATTTCTATATCATAATTTAGATCCAATTAGTCTTACACATTTTTTCAGTTATCACTATTCCCATTAATGTTACAAATGCATGACTTCAGAGTCAGTATGTTTATTAACTGGTGGGGGGTTGGTAGAATTAAAAGAATTCTAGTCGTTCTGAATGAAAAGTTTCAAGTTCAAATTTTTTAAACATATTTTTAAAGGGTCAATTTAGACAGTGAAGACTCTATTCCTCTTTCCATCTAGGCAATGATCTTGAAAAGCTCATATTAATCTCAGGGAACAAGAAGCAGCAAGGACAGCCCTACTGAGAGGATTTGACAAAGATACCCTACACAGACAGCTCAAACATTCAGTTTCAGAAAAAGCAACACTGAATTGGCATGGTTTGCTGCAGATTTGCCAAAATGAGGCAAATACAAAAAACAATACTATTGGGCATACATATTTTTAAAGGGTCAATTTAGAAAGGGCACCTTTACGTAAAGGTTCAGTGAATTGTTTGAAAATATTTTTACACAGTAAATTCTGCATGGTGTGAAATACTCAGAAATGTCAACACAAAGCACACTGAGTTCTAAATGACCATGAATTTTTAAATTAGGAAATGGGAAAAAAAAGATGCAATTTAATGTAGAGATGCAGTAAGGTTTTATATTCTAGCTTTTTGCCTTTTTAAGTTTTCATTCCTCCCACTGCCATGTTACGCTACGCTCTGAGATCTGTATGAGAATTAGAAAAACAGCTCTTCCCTCCTGTGGCCTCTTCAAAGCCATTGCAAGCAAGGTGATGCAAAGCACCCACCAGGCACATGTCCTACTGAGCACTTGACACATGGCTATTACCACAGGTTGAAGAAATAATATTTTAGGTAGAATAAAGTAAATGCATCAAAATCAACCTTACCCACTTCTTTTTGGTATTTATTCACAGGGGGTGGAAAGATGGCTGCTCCCAAATGATCACAAGAGATGTACAATTTTCTTTGGAGTTTCAAACCAAAACGGATAATTATTATTATTTTACAAATTTAAAAAATGCTAAAAGTTGTAAATTAAATCTAAATTGCAGTTCCCACATAACCTAATTTTAAATCTGAGTTATATATTTCCCTGAATACATACTTTCTACAAAAACCAATATAATTTATGAGACAGCATAGGAATCAAGTAGATTTCACACCTATAAATATTTCAAATTACATGTACATATTATAAATTATAGCAAATAAAATTCAAGTAATAGAAAAAGAAATGAGGGGGAATAAAAAGCAAGTTATTAAAGAGGAATTGAACAATAACAACTGCACCATTTGCATAACTTGGCTTGAAAAAATTTTACTTGGTTAACTAAACTGATTACGAGTAACTTCATGAGCTCAGAACTCTTTCGCAAAAAGCACTTTATCCTTTCTTTAGACGCCTGGATGTTCACCATCTTCTTTGAAGAGCAAAAGCATTTTCTTCCCAGAACAGACACCCACAGAGCTGACCCTTGCGGAGAGAAGCAGGGCACACAGGTACATGCTGCGTCGAGCTCAACTGAAATGTGGACGCGGTAGCTGGCAGTAGTGTCCACATGGCCGAGCCACTGACCACTAGCTCTGGGAAACGTCAGGGACGAAGCTGTCCATGTCTTGAGAGTTCATGTTCGCTTTAAAGAACACCTCCAAGGTACTGGCATGAAGTAGATTACTAACAGAAAAATGAACAGCACAGTTCTTGCTTCCTATGTTTGTAAGGAAAGGGACGGGGTTAATCCCAAAGGCAATTTAAATAATGGTTCTTTATTCTCATATATAAATAAATGTTCTGAGAAATTTCAGACTTTAGTGCATCGTTGTAAAAAATTAGTGCAGTTTTTTTTCTTCAGTAAAGTTTTTACCGCTCAAGGAATAAGATAAACCTCTGTGTGTTCATAGTCTCTTTTACTGTACATTACACTTCCACACTGCTCTGTGTCAAGCTCAACGTTTCTACACTGATTTTTCAAAATCAAGGTAAATGAATTTCATGTTCTATGACAAAACATGGCAATTATTTTTGGCAAATAAATTAGAAAAATATGAGTCATAGTTTAGAAATGAAGACTGTTGATTTAAAGCATAGGCAATACATAGGAAAAACCTTTCATTCATAAGGATATACTTCGACTGAACTTTATCCTTCATGCAGAATGTCTTCTTGGCAGCTAACTTAAAAAAGTATCTCCGCTTTTTTTGAGGATGGGAATAGTGACAGAAGTCAGGGTGAAGGGTGAAGGAGAGGCGCTTAGTCAAGCCCGCTCTGGTTTGAAGTCCGTCCCACAGAGGAACAAAGTGATGCCTGCAGGCACCTTCTCCTGGCTCCCCTCCTTCTCCAATGCTTGGATTGGAGAGGCAAAAGAAATGTAGCTATAGAACACTGGCTCACACTTCTGCCCCGAGTTCCAATACCCCAGTTTCAATTACAGTCACATATTTATCATCAATCTGGACCAGAAGCACTGCCTTGTCGATGTGGGATCTAGTGCCTGGGTCTCTGCTGCAAGGCACCCATCGGTGAATCACCTGATGATTGAGAATAAAACAAGACATCATGATGGAGAACCTGAGGGTACTTAAACCCTCGTCCCACAGGAGCACAGGCGGTGAGAGAGCATCAGTACATACATCAGCTGAACCCATGCCATGCAAGTGAGTCCAGACATCAGGAAACAGGGAGCCACAGCAGTCTCCCCAGAGTACTTACGTGGCCTTCCATGCCCTCCTGGGGACTCCCCAGAGTACTTACGTGGCCTTCCATGCCCTCCTGGGGACTCCAGTCTTTCCAGCTGTTCTTCCCAGCTTTTAACCGGATCCCCTCATCAGGCCACTGCAACTCTTTCCTTTTTGACAGGTTGATCCCTTCCAGAATTTGACTGGGATCCACAATCTGTAAACAAATAAGGATCATAACAACTCATTATTTTTTTTCTTGATGACTATAAATGGTATAATTCTAAAGTTTCTTTCATAGAACCCTGCGTCTAACAGTCTCTGATGCTTATCATGAAACAAATGTAAACAGTCACCACCTTAAATCTGCCCATTCTACTAGTGGTAGACCTTACTGCAGTGGCCATGTAGTCAATGGCTGCACAGGCAACAGGAACACTGCTGCAAAAACTGCTTGCTTTCAGTTTTTATGCTGAAACTTTTTTCAACACTCAAAAACCCATTTTTCAGACTGAACAGTATAAAAGCTGTTTAAAATATTTGAAAGATAGAGTTACAAAGGGAGAGACAGAGAAAGATCTTCCATTTGTTGGTTCATATACCAATTGGTTGCAAATGGGTCAGACTTAGGCCAGGCTGAAGCCAGAAGCTTCTTCCAGGTTTCCTCTGCAAGTTGCAGGGACCCAAGTACTGGGCCACCTTGCTAGTATCTCACCCGTGGTGACTTTACCCACCTTACTGTAACTTTGGCTCCAAAAGGCATTTTCTAAGAGCTCTCCTTCCACAAATAATAAAAAAACAAAAGACTAACAGAAGACCTCTACGATTACTCACTTGGACTCTGTAGATCACCTCCCCCTTTCTGGTATGTGAATTAGCTGTAGGACTTAATAAAGTGTTGCCCGGCTGGGAGTCAGTGGCACCGCTCTGACCTCCCTCTGTCCCAAGAAAGCCCACGAGGGTGTGATGTTTGCAGGCAGGGATGCTTTGGCTGGAGCTGCTGGAAGAAGGCAGGCCATGCTGCACACCGGCCAGGCCACTTTGCCCAGGGAGTTCCATCTGGTTCACCATGGAGAGGCGGGACTGGATGGATGACGGCAAATTGCGAAGTGATATCTGACTGGTGGAAGAGCGCCGACAAGGCACAAACCCTGTGCTGGACATGCGGAGAGATGAGTGGCGGCTGCCGTAGCAGTAGGAAGACTGGCTGGCTCCGGAGGCGCGAGCAGGGGACTGTCTGACCAGACCGGACTGCACCGAGTGGGCGCTGTGGCTGGTGCCTGCAGGGAGAGACAACAGAGCGCTCACTTACAAGGGACGGTTCGGACACGCACAGCTTTTGGGCTGTTTTCTTAAGATCTTTATCCCTCAATTACTTGATGAATTTATAGAACTTAACATTTATATCTGAAACTTGAAAGTTATGAAACAGAAATAAATTACTTGAGATTGTGTGTGTGTATTCTGTTTTACAACTTTCACCTGTTAAGGTTTTTTAAAACTCAAAGCCTACAATAAAAGAAATAAATAACTAAATAACTTACAGCAAATATCATGATTGAAGGTTGGAATAAATCCTAAAATAAGTGCCTTTCACGGAAAGATTTCAGAATCCCTCTTTAATACATCAGAACAAAATGTCTTGTGGAAATAAACGGAAGCATTATGCATGAAACACAAGCACTACACGATCTCACGTGTGCATCCCACGCTCATAAATGCAGAGGGGGAGCAGAGGGGAGAAATGCAAAAATGTTGGTGAAGGGTATAAAGCTTCAGTTTGACAAGAGGAACATGTTCTGGAGATTTCCAGCACAGCATGGTAACAACAGTCAGTAATTCACTGAACACCTAAGACTGGCCGAGTAGATCTAAAATGTCCTTCCCACAAAGAGGAGTAAGTATGTGAGGTGGAAGATATGTTAAATATCTTGGTTTATATTTAGTTCACAATGTATTCATGCCCCCCCCAAAACAGGCTGCACACCATAAATACACAATTCTTATTAATGAAGACTGAGCTCCAATGACCTACTGCATGACAAGCTCTGCAGGTACCAATCCCAAGGTCTCCGTGGCTCCCAAGGACAGGCTGCCTAGAGATGGGAACAGCCCTCTGCAAGGTTCGTACAACTTAGGGGCTGCCTACTGAGTGACACTGAGCAACAGGTTCTTTGTGCTTCATACAAGTGGCTTGAAGTGAATCTTCAGAGGCACCTTTCCTCTGACTCGCAGGAACAATGTGAAGATTAGGAAACCATCATTAATTTGACTGAAAACACAGCTACCTACACTTCAGAGCCCAAAATAAAAGGCAAAGGTACATTTAAAGAAGCACAGCAAAGGACATGTGATGTGTTGAGTAGGTTAAGCTCCTATCTGTGACATGTCCTGTACGAGTGCCACTTTGAGTCCCCAGGGCTCTGCCTTCCAATTCAGCTCCCTGCTAAGGCACCTGGAAGCAATGAAAAAAGCCACGTGTCTGGGCCCCTACCACATAAGTAGAAGACCGAGATGAAGCCCCTAGCTTTAACCTGGTCTAACTCAGCTACTGCAGCCACTTTGGGAGTTAACAAACGAAAGGAAGATCTCTCTCCCTTTCTCTATTACTCTTTCAAGTAAATAAATACATCTTTAAGAAAAAAAAATACTAAAATTTTCAAACCTTCATTCAAATATAAACTCTGCACCCCTCACCAAAAAAAAAAAAAAAAAAAAAAAATCCACAGAAAAAATCTAAAAGGTTGACCATATAACCCTTTAGTTTCAATTCCCCTATCACTGGCATCTTAATCACCTGATCCACACTAGCAGAGGACAACGCTGGATCAACTGACCCTCCCAAGACATCAGAATAAATCAATCCTGCCACATACCAGGCAGCTCTTGCATCAAAAGTACATTACTGGAGGCCCAGCCTCATGGCCTCTCTTGGGAGAAGGAAAATTTTCTTAAATAAGACACAGAAAGCATTAATCACCAAGTGCAAGATCAGGTAAGCTGCTCTGCCCTAAGAACTTCTCACTGGTGAGAATCAAGAGTCAGGGAAAAGTACCTAAGGACAAGCAGGCAAAGAGCTCAACGCCGGATCATACAATTCTAAATCTACCAGAAAAAGACAGCCAAACGGCGGCACTTCAGAAACAGAAATGCCTGGTGAGTTCTATTTTAAAAATTTCTAACCTCAAGTGTCAGAGCAACGCAAATTGAAAAAAATGAAATTAAAAAGCATCTCTTCTCTAACGTCCCCCAGGGTCAGCTGGGAGTCTAGGTGAGAGCTGCTGACACTGAGAGCTGATGGAGGCTGATTACACGGCCATTCCTCTCCACCTACGTGAGAATATCAGCTGATTAAACACAAAAAAGGTTTAACATTAAGTATCAAAGCCATAACCAAATCAATTTCTGACCTAGTGACTAAAAGTTTTCAGTCTGAGAAAGTAACATGGGACTGCCAAGATTTATATACAAATGTGAAAATTCATCAAAAACATTGGGCATTCATTAAAGAAGAGCTGAGGGTTATGGAAAGAAGGGACCAATCAGGTTCCAGAAGTTCACTCCAACAACTGATTCACAGGCCAATCCAATCAAACTTCTATCCAGACGGCTCCTACTTAGCAAGTGCCAACAATGTCCTCAAAGCTAGCTTACATAGTAACTGCCACCCTTCATCAACCACAGCTTACCAGCCTGTGCAAACACCCAAAGTGCTAATGCATTTTCATTCAAAATAGTTTGTGTTTCTGTGCCCTCAGAAACCCTTCATTATTTCCTTTGTTCACTGGAAATACCAGAGGCCACTCCAGCCTGTGCATCTGTGCTCCAGATCTCAATCTCATTAAGAGAGACTTAACAATTTAACATTATTAGTTTCTAAAATGTCTCCAGGGAATATTTAACATTTCGAATAAAATGGTTATATCAAATATTAACAACAAATACATATAATACACATCATATATCTCTTTGAAGACCCCTCCTAAACCTGCATGTAAAGATTATTACAAAGTTTAACTGAGAATCAAACCAAAGAGTCCATGCATGTGCTCAATTAGACAGGATGTTGGCACCCCTCTTCACATACAGGCACAAGTGCCCCCAACTGCTAAGACACATGCACAATGCGTTCCTACTACCTAGTGCAGGAGGGTAGGATGTGACCGGTGGATGGAGCCCTGTTCCTGGTCCCTGCCCAGGATCTGCAGTGTTCCCCTGGGGCGCGTTGCTGTGGCGATCACTGGTGGTTGTTGCACTGTTACCAGCACAGGAAATTCCACCTCCGGCATCTGAATCTTCAATGTTGCCACCACTGTTACATCCAGCTCCACAGCCTTTCCTTAGCCTAGGAACAAATACCAGAGTAGGAAGCATCATCCCAAGAACTCTTCAAATAGACATTTTATTCCTTTTCTAGCTATTCTGAACTATCAATGCTACTAATGTGACTTTTAAAAATCCTTATGGAGCAACCAGCATTAGGAACAAGTGAAATCCATCCTCAAAGAATGGCTTGAAGACTATATCTCTTTTATTAATTATATCAAAATTTCCAACTTCTTTTGGATACACTCCTTTATCTTTTCCTGTACAGTAAAAAAACTGTACAAGGCCTGACTTGGTAACCTAGTGGCTAAATCCTCGCCTTGCATGCACCGGGATCCCATATGGGTGCCGGTTCATGTCCCAGCAGCTCCACTTCCCTTCCAGCTCCCTGCTTGTGGCCTGGGAAAGCAGTAGAGGACGTCCCAAAGTGTGGGACCCTGCACCCATGTGGGAGACCTGGAAGAGGCTCCGAGCTCCTGGTTTCAGATCAGCTCAGCTCTAGCTGTAACAGCCATTTGGTGAATAAACCAGTGGATGGAAGATCTGTCTCTCTCTAAATCTGACTTCTCAAAAAAAAAAGAAATAAATTAAAAGAAAAGAAAGAATTGTTCATAATGCAGTTCTATCATTAAGGTCACAGAGAGACAAAAGTGCCTACCAGAATCCCTGAAAATTCAGTATATGAAGTACTACTTGTAATCATTTTTTAAAATTTATTTTAAAAATTTTCAGTGTTGGTGACCGTCTGGGATTGACACTGAGAGTCTAACATTCCAAGAAACCATTTAGTTCCAACGAGGCCAGTCAGCTGAGCCCTATCCCTGCGCCATTTCTACTAAGGGGAAAGAATTTCTTCCAGGTGATTCTAGCACTATAACAGATACACTTTTCCTATTTACACGCTATCCTAAATTTCTGTTTCTCAATGGAGGGACTGTTTTTTACTAAGAACATCCACTTCACAGTTTTCTGTTCTAGTAATCAGATCCTCTTTTTCTTCTCTCTCTTTTTTTTAAAGAACCACTTGGTTCATTCCCCAGTGACTGAAACGGCCGGAGCTGGGCAGATCCGAAACCAGGAGCCAGGAGCCTCTTCTGGGCCTGCCATGCAGGTACAGAGTCCCATGGTTTTGGGTCATCGTCCACTGCCTTACCAGGCCACAAGCAAGGAGGGAGCTGGATAAAAAGCTGAGACATAACCTGGCACCCATATGGGATCCCAGCACATGCCAGCCACCAGGCTATTGCAGCAGGCCCCAGATCCTGTTTTTCTTAAGCTGTGATACTTAAGAATTTCAACAACTCTTAAGAAATTAAAAATGTTTCCTACTTCTTCTCCACCACCTATCAAACTATGATGTTCCTCAACCATACATCAAAATTTACTGGATAAAAGGCAGAGAAAAATTCACAGACATACTTGAAAATTATTAGAGTTGAGATTTGGTGAAAGGCAGTGGAATTTCTGCATCACACTGTTACAAGTTTCAACATGTACACAGTGCGCCCCCTACTGCTGGCACACAGTAAGAAAAAACAAGGAAGGAGGCAACTTGCTCATGTTTTTTCTTCTGTCCCTGTTTGCTGGCCTGTTTGAATAGGGACAATATGCTGGAATAATTAGACAAAAAATGCAATTATTCAAGATTCTATGAAACACTAGAGTAATGGTTCTTACTAACTCATACTATGAATTAGATTTACCACCACGGTTTTGAATATAAAAAGTACTTAATTCCCTCAAGTTCAGATATAGCAGGTTAGTTTTTGTGTCATGGAATCTCTATCTGTTCTGTAAGCTTCCCAGGTGAGGCTGATCCCCTGGCTAAGCTAAAGAGGGTCAGGGTCTCCCCACACCGAAAAACACAACCTGTGGTTCACCTGTGCCACGTTGACACGATGAAGTTTCTGATATTTCTCAAACTGATAGGTCCCCCAAGAATCTCTTTAAGCTGTTCATGGCTGTCAGAGTAAGAAGTTGTCAGGGGCGAAACAAAGATCGGGTAGCCAATAGGTTGATCACAGGATGAATTTATCATGTTTCTTAGAGCCTGCTTGGCATTCTGGATGCTACCTCTCTCTGGGTTACGATTACGCAGAAAAACAAGCTCCTGTTGTTGTCCTGCCCAAAGACCTCGGACACATTCCTTGTTCACCTGGAAACCAGAAAATGCCGGAACGAGGTTAGGGGGCCAAGAATAACATTCATATCAACACAAGGACAAAAATAGAAGTAATACATAAGATACATATGACAACCAACCGAAAAGCAGGCAACAAGTATTAAGTAGGCCACACAGGAGTAGATGCTAATTAATTTTTGTTTTGTCCTTAGCAGACTCTTAAGTAACAAGTACCTAGAGAGATACTGTTCTCTCTTGCTAAAGTATCAAGTATTAGGTGGCCCATTCAATTTTTAGATCAATGAAGCACTGCTTTTATAAATAAGAGAACAGATATTTTTAATAAAAATATCTTTAGAGTTGGTAATGCACAGTGAAAGTTGAATGGATATATGAAATATTTGGAAGCTGATTTAAATGAAGGTAAAAAATAGTAATTAAAAACTGTCTAAAATAAAATTTTAGAAATTAGACCTCTAAAAGTTCTGGAATGTTTTAGTTTTTTAAAGAGGAAAAAGTAAATCACTTAGAACTTCTAATTACTACTAAGTACAAGCTACCCTATTACTTTTGCTATCCAACTTTTTTTTCCCCCCAAATTCTTTACTTTTTATGATACAGTTCCCTAGGCTCAGGGACATGCCGTCCAGTTTGCCTGCGTCAACAGATGGGAGACCTGAAATCTAACAGACGAACATCTGCAACACCCAAATTAGTAAAATCTGTAAGGCTTTACAGCACAAGTGAGGACTTCACTGGCCAGAAACAGGAGTAACAAAACAAGAGCTTATCAACAAATATAATGTGCTACGGTTACTATTTTCTTTATTCTGAAAGGAGTTGCCATAGCTGTTTTAAAGACTGGATCAAAGTATCTACCTTGTAGTTTTGAAAACAAATGAATGTCTCATCAACTTACTTTAATGACCCTGAAGCTCAGGTAGCGTCTGTTGAGCATGATGATTTTGTACTCATTGGTGCCATCGTCCATGACATGTCGCAGAGCAAGCAGGGAGGGAGAGTTGGCCAGGACCGCACTCCGCCACGCAGGGTCCCCTTCGTGGGCTATCACAAGGTTTTTTTCATGAGACACGATGGCTTCGTAGAGCACAGTGGGGTCATCATATTCATCTGGAGAAGTAAAATGATCCTAAACACAGAAAACAAAAAATATTTGTAACAAGGAAGGAATGAATTCTAGGAAGATTAACTTCTACAGTTAATAAAAAAAAATTCCTTTGAAAACTGGCTTGGTGTGTCTTTACTTTTATTTTTTTTTATTTCAGAGACAGAGATCTTCCATGTGTTGGTTCACACCTCAAATGCCCAGTCCTCCCGGAATGCACGTCAGCAGGAAGCTGGGGGTGGAGCCGAGACTCAAGGCCAGTTACACCAATATGGCTTGTGGGCATCCGAGCAACACCTTAACTGCCGTACCAAACACGTGCCCCAGACATTTCATATGCACATGTCAATGTTAGGAATAAATTAGACTCTTAATCACAAACATTACATTTTTGCTCAACTACTTCCATAAATTCCTCAATCCAGTCCTTTCTTCTAAGTTTTAGGATTTTGAAGTATTTTCTTTGTTTTCTCTTTCATGTGTTTCTTTTATTAAAGGATCATTTCACTGCTCTCGGTTAGGCGAGGACCCTAACCACTTGCGCCACCGCGCTGGGCCCGGTCTTAACATTTTTCATTTCCATACATTGGCTAGAGGTAAGGAACTGTAAAGGAAAATGCTAACATCTGTGAAGTAATGAAAACACATCACAAAAGGTATAAAAGGCAGAGGTTAAGAAAAAATTTGGTTTCTCCCCTGAAGTTATTATAAGTATACTGATTTTGGTCTATTTATATAGCCAGTCTGAATACAGAAAATTCTATTTTATTTTAAATGAGTATTTCCCCCATAATCTTCAAAATAATATTTCATTCTGTTAGAAAAATATTCCAAAGGATATATTCCTTATCAGTCATGCTCCCCAAGGATCTAACGAACTACCTTTCACTCCAGCAGAATTATTTGAGAGCAGCTCACCTTTTATGTGGGGGAAAATACTCACATTTGAGTACAGCAGATGGATCTGTAACAGACGTTACCATGTAAAATCTATCAGCAGGTGCAGATGGTCTACCGAGCCCAGGGGGACGACTGAGGGAGCCCAGGGGGACGACTGAGGGAGCCCAGGGGGACGACTGAAGGAGCAAGTGTCCGCGTTGACTTTCGTGAAATTACTTCAAGTGCCTTGGAAAGGTGCTTGAATTCTGAATTTAATTATCCTACTAAGACTTTTTTTCTTAAAATTCAGGGAACATGTATACTAACCACATACTGTTTCATATAATGCACTAAATGAAACTCCCTGCCCGGAACAGAAGCTCTGAGTCCTCTGAGCTGTTACTACGCTGCATCTGTGGCGGGCTAATGCTCATCCGGGGATGAGGTGTGGAGTTACAATCAAATGAAGACAAATCCAGTATTATATAGTCCAGACTTTTATTTCCCATTTATTACTGTCTAACCTTTATTTTTTGTTGTTTATGCCCAGACCAGTTATTCCTAACATTAATAGTTAATTTATTCTTAATTTGAGGACCCAGCACAATAGCCTAGTGGCTAGGTCCTCACCTTGCATGCGTCAAGATCCCAAATGGGCGCCTGTTTCTATTCTGGCTGCTCCACCTCCCATTCAGCTCCCCGCCTGTGGCCTGGGAAAGAAGGGAAGGATGGCTGAAAGCCTGGGGACCCTGCACCCTTGTGGGAGACCCGGAAGAAGCTCGTGGCTCCTGGCTTTGCATTGGCTCAGCTCTGGCCATTATAGCTTCTTGGGGAGTGAACCAGTGGGTGGAAGATCTTTCTCTCTGTATATCCTCTTTGTATATCTGCCTTTCCAATAAAAAATAAAACAAATCCACCCCCCCAAAGTCTTAATTTAAAATTAAAGCTAAAAATTACCAGTTAACTCTAGTAATCCATTAGAAGAATTTCACTGTCTTACCTGGTGAAGTTTAATAGACATACGGATTCCAGGAACTACCACTTTTCTTAGCAATTCCATGTCAGCAAAGATCCATTCATCTCGAATTGAAGAAATACGGAAATCTCCCTTAAACAGGGCATGCAATCCATAGAGGAATGACTCTAAATTACTGTTAAGATTGAAGATAAAAGTTCATATATTTTGACAAAGATCATTTATAAACCTGATTCTTAAATCACCAGACACAGGGCCTTTATGGCGTGGGACCCTTGTTTAACAAAGGCGTAACAGTGCTCGCTTTGGCAGCACATATACAAAACAGTGAGTTCACAAAATCAACAGGCAAAGATCTGTATGTTAAATTACAGGGGGGCCTAATGTAAAACTTGTGGTAATCATACAAGAAAAATACAATGTGGTATTCCTTGACTCTAATTCACTTGAATGCATATGTAAGGAAATTTAATCTGAGTTCAAGCATTTAATATAGATAACTACTCTTACTGGATAAGACTACAATGAAAGGTGGAAAAACAGATGTAAATGGAAAGAGACTAACCAAACTTCATTGGAGAATTATATTTTAAAGTGTCTTAAATGCATTAAATCATCATTATCAAGCATCTACTCTATAGAGAATTTTAAATTCAATTATGGAAACCAGCTGAAACAACTATGTATAGCCAAAGATACACAGAAATAAAACATCTAGACTTTTCAATAAATTAGTCTAAAACGAATGTCTCCATAAAAATGATTTCAAGTTCAGGTTATGCTGCTTCCCATTCTCGCGTCTTGCAGACAGAAATGCCTTCCTTACCTGGACATATGGTGAGACGCAGTGCCCAGAGCTCTCCGCCCAAGGACACAGAGTCCGTAACAAAGAGTCACCAGGGACGAATCCTTGTCCACGTCCAGAGGCTTTAAGACATGGGTCAGTAGTTATTTGAAAAGAATGTAAGCATTTAACATATCAAAGATATGTAAATAGTACGTCAGAGAAAAGTAAAGAACTCAATTAGATTAGAATGATTTTGTGTTTTCAGGTCATGTGCAAGTCAGAATGCTGCCTTGCAAGTCAACGGTCTAGACGTGCACTGTCCGATAGAGTAACTACTAAGCATATGGATATTAAATTTAAATTTGAATCAATTAAAACTAAACAGAACGTAAAAAAAAAATCACTTCTTTTGTTGTACCAGCCACATTCCAAGCACTGAACAGCTACATATAATATCGTACATTTTCATCACTATAAAAATTTCTATTAAGACAGCACTGGACTAGATTTCCTATTTGAACAAAAACGTTCAGTTCTCTTTGGGTCTGGTGAACGAAGTGAGAACTCACACTTCTTAAGGACAAGATTTTGGAAAACAAGGCCAGTAATTTGAATTTGTGTATGCAGACATGTAGGCTAGGGGTGAAGGCAGTAAGTTTAGGATACTGCAAATGAAATCGTAGAGGCCACTGTTTTGAACTTGTCTTCAAAGAGCTGGTTGACCCAACCTTGCCACTCACACAGGTGCTCTCATCCAGAAGATGAGAGAGAGGAAAGCCTGGGGAGAGTGACCTCACAATAACAAAAACTGAATTCTGTGAACAGCAAATGGAGGAAACAAACCTCACCTTTGCCCTTCGGGAAGAACAATACTCAATCCAGTTGAGGTAAATCACACAGAAACTCTCCCTGGATATGCCTGCGAGTCGATGGTCATAGTCTTCATCAATGTTCGGATTAAATGTCGGATCTACATCGACGTAATTCCGATCTGCACACAGACGTAGTCCTTCCTGCATGGTCTCATTAGCTAGCCACTCCTCTAATTTGGAGGAGGTTGTAACATAATAAATTATGCCCTAGTAAGAAAAAGATAAAAATGAATCCAGGTTAAATCACAATTTGAACTAACTCCAATTCTTCAATGAAACAGATTCCAAAATCATTCAAAAATACTTTACTCTGCATACCTTTTCAGAGTGCTACACTAGGGGTCAGTGTTACAGTGTAGTAAGTCAAGCTGCTAATGACACCAGAACCCCATATGGATGTAATGTGATGCTTGGTTGTTTGACTTCTGATCTAGCTCACCACTCGCATGACTGGCAAAGCAACATAAAATGGCCTAATTACATGGGTCCCTGCACCCTTGAGGGAGACCCAGAAGAAGCTCCAGGCCCAGCTCCAGCCCTAGGCCTGGTTGTTATGGGCATTTGGGGGGTCTCTTTCTCTCTTCTCCAAACTCTGCAATTGGGGGAAAAAAATGCTACAACAAAGCACAGGCCTTTATGGAATAAGAATCACTTAATACATAAAATCACAGTCATACATTCAGCAAGGCAACTTCAAAATAATTGTAGTCTACTGATTCTAAAACTTCAGGTTTGGACAACTTTGTAAGAGGTGAAAAACCTTCACTGTGGTGTACTTGGTTTGAAAAATCCGTCACAGTTATTAAAACCATCCGGTGATCTTAGGTTAAGTTACAAAAATAGAGCTAACCATACATATTTTTTTTTAAAGATTTATTTTTATTATTTTTTCATTGGAAAGGTGGATATACAGAGAGGAAGATCTTCCGTCCGATGATTCACTCCCCAAGTGAGCGCAACGGGCCGATACTATGCCGATCCGAAGCCAGGAGCCTCTTCCGGGTTTCCCACGCGGGTGCAGGGTCCCAAAGCCTTTGGGCTGTCCTCGACTGCTTTCCCAGGCCACAGGCAGGGAGCTGGAAGGGAAACGGGGCTGCCGGGATTAGAACCAGCGCCCAGATGGGATCCCGGGCGTGCAAGGCGAGGACCCTCAACCACTTGCGCCACCGCGCCGGGCCCTAACCATACATATTTAGAAGCAGAGGTACAACATTTTGTCCCTAGACCTCTGTCACACATACACGCAATGCTGTAAAGGCAATTTCTTTGGCTTCCTGAGGTTGGATTTAACCAAATTCAAGGTTCACCCTAACTAGCATAGCTAAGGTCACACTTGGAAGTTGCAACACAAAACATGGAAAATTTCAGATGCAAGTCATTGAAACTGCCCTTGAAACTACTGGCTTTGTCTGGAAATCCCAAATTACAAGCATGTGGTATTTCTGGAAAAATTTTTAGCAAAAACAGAGTATCATGTACAATGAGAATTAGTCATGTCCAATGAGAGACTGTATTTGGCCCTCAGGTCCTGGGAAGTAACCCGGGGAATGTTCTGCCTGACTATCCCTGTTTAGCGGGGAGCCTGGAACCACATAGTTATCAACTTGACCTCCAATCATACTAGAGACTCAAACTGGCCATATAGGTAGCTAACCATGTCTACAAGGCTGTGCTACAACTGAACCGTACACCAAGCACAGAGGAGCCTCCCTGACAGGCAAGCTCTGTCCTGCCACTCCTTGCTGCTGGGAGAAGTAAGCAGCTGCACAATTCCACCGGGCGAGAGCAACCAGACACTCCTAGGTGTCCATGCACACTGCCCAGGCGGGTCTTAGCTCGCTGCCTAATTTTAATCTCTACTCCTGTAATAATGTCAGTATAATGAGTACTGATGGCTTTGCTGAATTCTTTGAGTCCTTCTAGCAAATTACTGAGAAGAACCAGTGTTCTTGGGGAGCCAGAAATAGCAGTTGATATCAGAAGTAACAGTGATCTTGGGAAGTTCTTCTTGGAAATTGTGTGAAGCAGAGGTTAAAAGCAAATAAATAAATGCTCAGGAGTTATATCTTGGTATTAAATCCCAAACTCTACATGCTAGAGGCCAAGCAAGGAAACTTAAATTACTTATAAAACATGCAAATGAAACTTCTTTAGAGAATTATATAAAACACACATATGTGCATATTCCTTAGCAAAATGCTCAAAACATAGAAACTATAAACATTAGCAATTATCATTAATATACAAACATACTTGATTTTCAGTGAAGAAAAAGCCAAGAAAATGTCATTCGGTAGGTTATTTTTACTGTATCTTTTGGATGCTAGATAATTTTATCACTATTTGCAGGCAAAGCACAAGTTAAGACATATGTACAACATACCAATACACAAATAGAGTCCTTAAAAAAGTTTATGGAGGGCCTGGTGGCGTGGCCTAGCGGCTTAAGTCCTCGCCTTCCTGGGATCCCATCTGGGCACCAGTTCTAATCCCTGCAGCTCCACTTCCCATCCAGCTCCCTGCTTGTGGCCTGGGAAAGCAGTCGAGGATGGCCCAAAGCTTTGGGACCCTGCACCCTTGTGGGAGACCTGGAAGAGGTTCCTGGTTCCTGGCTTCAGATCGGCGCAGTACCGGCCGTTGCAGCTCACTTGCGGAGTGAATCATCGGATGGAAGATCTTCCTTTCTGTCTCTCCTCCTCTCTGTATATCTGACTTTGTAATAAAAATGAATAAATTTTTAAAAATATTTTTTAAAAGTTTATGGAGAAACAGAATTAAAAGGTATATCAGGGCTAGGCATTTTTCCTAGCGAAGAGACTGGCTATGTACCCATGTCCCCTATTAGATGCCTGAGGTCACATCGTGGCCCCTGCTGATGTGGACTCTAGAAGATTCCAGCTGACAGCTCCAGTAGCAGGATACTAGCCAACTCTGCAGGAGACCTGGATGAGTGCCCAGCTCCTCAATCTCTCAAATTATTGAAAAAATAATTTTTATAAAGAGCTTAATTTGTTTTGATATAGAAGTCTTTGAAATTCAGGCATGTTTTTCATGACTTCAAAAATTCTTATTTGCATGGATTTCAGTTATTATGCCAAACTAAACATCTTTTAGTTCTATTTTCCTAAATTGCTAGAGGTATTCTCAAGTATGTCTTTCCAAAGAAGAATCTTCATTATCTCAAGATCTAAGGAGGAACATACCCTTACCTTGACATAGTAAGTGGTGAGGACTTTCCGAAGATCAAAGACTTGAAGCATAGAAGCAGCACTGTTATCAGTGATGCTATAGCCCTCTAGAATATATTTGGTGACAATTACTTCCCAGGCTAGCCAGCGCTGGCTAAATGCAGCATTAAATGAAAGCACATGAGGAATATGGCCAGGTTCACAACAGCAAAATCCTTCATCTTCCTCTACACCTTCGGTAATGGCCTCCACTTCCCGCTGTTGACAGTAGGTACCTTAGGAAAGAAAACAAGGGGGCAGGGTGTAGAGGGAAGTAGAGATAATTACACTGGAGTAAGAAATATGAAGTGGGGAAAATGTCTTGAGGACACATGGATTTAGAAAAAATATACACAGCACAGTAACTAAAAGTTTACAACTGATTTATCTTGAAGGCTCATTAAAATTATTCCAAATTCCAGAAAATAAGTGTATTACATATTTACCTACAAAATCACAATTTACATTAGTACATTAAAGGATTTGTGAAATTTGTGCAGTAAATAAATCTATTTTGATTCTAAATGATTTCCTACTGGGTTTAAAATTGCATTCCTTTGCAATGAAGGTCAAGTTGATAAATAAAGGTAGATTTCTTCAAAATTTTATTTTACAAAAAAAAAAGGAACAGTGGGATAAGAACGGAGTCTTCTCAGGCACAAAATAATACAGACATGCATGTAGAACCCAGAAAACAAGCTGTGCATAAGTATTCACACACAGACGAAGTATACCCACGCAGAAGTAGCAGAAGTAGCAGTAGTATGTAATCTTAGAACTATCTTTTAGATTTTTTTGTTATTACTTCATTTTACTCATTCTGTCATTTTCCCAGGAAATTGATGAAGGATTTTTAAGTTAGCATATAACACAATGAGATCTACACTGGGGGTAGATCACAGTTGTGCGTAGAGAACAGCAGTGGCAACAGGGAATTCGGAAGTTTTGACATTTATACTCAAGGGTGTCTTTTACAGAGTAGTAAAATAATGCAAACAGGCTAAATGAATTACACACACTATTTTTACTGAACATTGCTTTCAACCTCAGCATGCCTGCAATGCATTTTTCTCCAAAAGTAAAGCAAATACAGGAAATTAATACTAGTAAACAAAAAAAAATTTTTGTTTGAAACTTGGAAACAAATTCTAGAATATTCATAAGGAACTATTACCTGTATTAACTACATCTTTAAGTCACTTCATAGTAAAAATTACTGGTAAAAATAAAACTATCATAAAAGCTAGACATATTAAAAATAACATGAGGAAAAAAACAAAAGAATTCAATTTGCATTCCAAATTTTTCACATGTAAAGTTTGATTTGGGAAACTACATGGTAGAAGTAACATTTGCAAATGAGAAATTAACAGTAAACCTAAAAATTTTGACACAGAAAAACCTGATACTTAAAACATTCATAAAATTATATGCAAAACAGCCTTGAAAGTATCAGTAAATAAAAATGGGAAAAATACGAGTTTATTTTTGCTAAACATTGTTTAAAATTAGCTAGCCACAGGAGACAAATACAACCAAAGAAATTAAATTGGCTGAATGGAGTGTGTTCCAGCAAACACCAAAGAGAAAATAACATGGGCCAACATGTCACAGTGGGAAAAGCCGCCACCTGTAATGCTGGCATCCCAAATGGGCCAGTTTGTGTCCCAGCTGCTCCACTTTCAATCCAGCTCCCTCTAAAGGCCTGGGAACAGCAGTGAAGGATGGCTCAAGTCCTTGGGCCCCTGCCATCCACATGGCAAACCTGGCAGAATCTCTTGGTTCCTGAGTCAGGCCTGGCTCAGCCCAACTATTGTGGCCATCTTAGAGTGAATTAGCAGGTGGAAGATCTTACTCTCTCTCTGTAACTCTGACTTTCAAATAAATAACCTGACAAAATCAAAGAAAGAATGTAGCCAATGATCACAGCAATGTCTGAGCAGGAATGCAATCACATTTCATGAGTTTTAGAATGAAGGGAAAGGAGAAAAGAGGCTATACAGTTCCATTACTTAACTACTCCACATAACCATAATATTAATTACTGTGATAGTGCTGAATACATAATGATGAATGAAGCAGATAACCCTAACCCTAACCCTGGGGAATTTATAATACGGAACAAAGGCTAGCAAACATATTTTCATATTTTCCAAAGAGTTTTTAAAAAGATAACCACAACAGCACAGAACAATGTGCAACAGAGAATGTGAATGGCTCCCTAAGTCAGAAATATTTACTATTTGATTCATAATGGAAGTTTTATCATTCACTGGACTACACAAGAAATAAGGTTTAAAGAAATAAGCAGAGAAACATAAAATTATAACTATGTTAAATGCTAAAGAGGATAATTAAAAAATTAGCGGGTACTTTCTGGGTAGAGATACGGGGAATAACAGTCCTTGTCAGAGAATAACAGTCCTTACAAGAAAGTGAAAGAAGGCTAGGGGGAATAGCGTAACAAGTGACAACAAGTAAAGCCATTTGCAATGCCAGCATCCCATAAGAGAACTGGTTCAAGTCCCGGATGCTCCACTTCTGATTCAGCTCCCTGTAAATGTGTCTGGGAAAGCAGTGGAGGATGGTCCAAGTCCTAGGGCCCCTGTATCAACATGGGAGACTAGAAGAAGCTCCTGGCTCCTGGTTTTGGGCTGTCCACTTGTGAAGTGAACCAGAATGTGAAAGACTGTTTTTTCTCTCTCTCTCTCTCTATGCAATTCTAACTTTTAAATAAATAGATAAAAGCTCTCGCTCTCTCTCTCTCTGTCTCTCTCTCTCTCTCTCTCTCTCTCTCTCTCACACACACACACACACACACACACCAGGAAGTTATGGAAGGGGTAGGTGATGTGCGCTGGTTTTCAGTTGAGTCTCACTGGGTTAGAGCTGCACAGCCAGGGAGTACTGATGGAGAGGCAGCAATAAATGCCCATAAGGCAAGAACAGGGTATTCTAAAGGAGGGAACAGTAAGGACTGAATGAAGGAATTACAAATGAATAACAGACACCAACGTTCACTTATTTGAGCGCTGCAGAGGTTATGTTATTTCTGGTGCACAGAGTAACTTGCAGGGAAGTGCTTGTTTTCCTAACACAGGCAACACACAGCAAAGGCACCGGCTGCCTCACTCATCACCAGCACGCCTCCAGATGTTTCCCATATTAGAAAGACAGCCAGTAACAGCATGATGATGTTCCTATGTAACAAGTGTGTTAATGCTTACAAGTTGCTCATGTGCAAACACCAAACTGACGTTTTCAAATGACAGTTTCTTTGTATAAACAACTTTGTCTCTTAGTACCTGAAATTGAAGAGGGCTGGTGGGAGGGAAGTATGTGGAGCGAATTCCTTATGGGGTATGGGTTTTGTTTTGGAGTCAGGAAAATATTTTGGAACAAGGGATGGCTACATAACACTGAATGTACTAAATGCCAGATTAAATCGTTCTACTTTATTCATTTTATTTGACTTTCATACTCGTTTTACTATCTTTGCTTCACCCCAAAACACAGCAAAGACCTACTGTCTTAGGAAATCTGTGCAAAGGGTCACAGAAGCAACTGGCAGGAGACCAAGACAAAAAAAAAAAAGTAAAATAAACCACTATGTGCAAGGACACAAGTCAGTTATACATAAATGACACTGGTTTTAGATACAATGTCATCCCATGAAAACAACTGAGTATGGAATTTGAAGGGGAAAAATGTAATAATTTGTGCTAACTGTTCTTACTCCAGTCTCAAAGACGGAAGTTCATGAACACTTGGATCAAACTTACAAACACATAAAACCCAGATGTTTCCAGCATACACCACGGAAGGAAGTGGCAAATGTCTCACCTCTGAATTCCAGCCCCCGAAGCTGGAAGGTGACCAGACCGTTGCCTATCTCTATGAGGTGCACCAAGGCGTTGAGATAGTCGGAGGCCAGGATGAAGCAGTCTCCTGTGCTGTAGTTGCCCCACCGTCCCAGAAGCAAGTCTCCACAGAGACTGTGTTGTAGGGATCGGGTTAAATGTTCGTAGAAGATGGAATTCAGATTGTTGTCATCTGACCCTGTAAGAAGGGATTAAAAAGATGATTTTTCTCCTTAAATCTCCTCTGTATCAAAAAACAAGTTTGATAAAAAAAAAAATTAAAATTAACTTTGCTTTAGGTTGGATGACAATTGCTTGATAAGGAAAATAACACACCACTGCAATCATTAAGCAAAAATGAAATAGGAAAAAAATGAAATAGCCTGAAGCTTCTCTGTCTAGCTCTGCTCTTGCTATCTGTGCTTTTGGGGTCTTAGTTAAGAACTGGCAACCTGTGCCAGTGCCTCCTTCAAACAGTCCTCAGGCCTACATTGAGATCTCCGATCTACTTTGACTTGCATAGGATGAGCATAAGTAAAATTTTGCAAACAGGGATATCTAGTTTTCTCAGCATTTAGTGAAGAGACCATCCTTTCCACCAGGTATGGATGAAGTGCCTCTGTCAAAGATCAGCTGGCTATAGATGAAGATGAATGACTGTATTTCTGGAATTTATATTCTGTTCCTGCAGTCTGTGGTAGTTTTTATGCCAGTACCATGGGTCTTTTTTTTTTTTTTTTTTTAAGCAGTAGCTCTGTATTTTTTCTTGACATCAGATACTGTGATACTTTCTGCTTTGCTCTTTAGGTTGAACATTCTTCACCTATTTGGGATCTTTTGTTCTATCACATAGATTTTAGGACTTTTTTAGAAGCGATTTAGAATGTATCTTATAAAAGAAATTATGTATGGCACAAGTATGGATTGGGTTTGGGGTGTGCCAGACTGGGCTAGACTCCAGCATCCACTGTTGCTTGTGAGAACCAGGGTAGGTGTAGGATGGGCTGGGCTAGGTCTCTGCCCCTGCTGAGCCATGTGTGAGCTGTATCTGGGTGTGGAGCAGGCTTGACTGGGCTATAACACCCAACAATATTAACCAGAATGGGTGAAGGTCAGGAAAGGCCACTGCTCCTGCCAGGATATGAGGTGGACTAAGTAGGACTAGTCCACTGACCTACTGATGGGCACAAGATCTGACATTGGGAGAGATTCTGAAGGAGGAGCTTGGGGAACTCCTCTGTCGGCACACAGTCCCTGCAGCTGAGCACAAGAACCACAATAGGGAACAGACCAGACCAAGCCAGGAAATGGTACCTACCAGCATACTGTTGGCTCAGGTTGGGGGCGAACTGGGCTGGGCCAGTTCATATCACCTGCCCTGAATCTGAGCATCAGAATGGAGTGTGGGTTGGGCTGAGTTGTGTCGTAGACAAGCCAGTTCACATGAAGGCCAGGATTGGGGGCTGGCTGGGCTGGGCTAGGCTGTAGCCACCACCAGTGTGAGCTGGAATTGGGGGTGAGCTGGGCCCAGCTAGGCTACAGCACCTGTTGGCAAATTCTGAGGTGAGGCAGGCCATGCCAGACTGGACCACAGCACCCAACCAGTACATATGAGACGTCGGGGTAGGGGGGTAGCAAACCTGGCAGGGGAGCTGTATGGGACTCCCCGGTAGATCATCACTCCCCCTGGAGAGCATGAGAGTTGGGACAGGGGCAGACCAGGCCAGGCAGGGTTACAATGCCTGTTGGCCTCGTTTGAGCTGGATCAGGGGAAAGCCAGGATGGGCTGACTGTTCCAACTGGTGCATGCCTAAGTCAGAGTGGGTGTGGGTTGGTTGGGCTTTGCTGCAGCATCAGCTGGCAGATGCTGGCATGGGGGCAAATTCTGTCAAGTTAAGCTGCAGAACCACCTGGAGAGTGCAGGATCTGGGAGTGGGAGTGAGCCCATTAGGGAAACAGTGGGCAACTCCCTCTTGAGTTGCCACTCTGACTAGTGAGCATAAGAACTGGGACTGGGGCAGGCATGGCTAGACAGAGTGGTATCTGCCAGCACATGTGTGGGCTGGATAGTGGGGCTGGTTGGGATGAACTAGGCTTCAATGCCCACTGACAAGACTGAGAGCTGAATGGGATGTGGGACAAAGTCTGCAGAGGATACCTGGTACCACAATAGAAGATGGAACACAGAACAAACTGATCAAATGCCACAGCAAAGTGTTGGCAGAGAATAACTGGGCAAACAGAGACCCTAAGGTGGACTATGTAAACTAGTGGATTCTGCAGAGATTTCATCGTGCTTGGAGTAGTGAGATTGGCAGTAAATCAAAATTGTTGAACTATCGAAACTTCTTGAGCAGAACCCTCAGAGCATGCCCCACAGTGGGGAGCCTGGGGTGGTGCTGGGTGGCTGTCCTCCATCCCAGGGTGCAGAGGTGTTTGGGAAACTGGGTGTGGTTTCTCCACTTACCTTACCCTTTCCCCCAGATACAGGAAGGAAAAAAAGAGAATGTGGAAATGGTGATCACAGCTATCTCCTGTAGCCCTTGACTCTAACTAACTATGTAAAAAACAGCAAAACTTAAAATAATTAACAAAAAAATAAACAATGTATGTTAAAGACATAGCTATATTTTATAAAAAAGTAAAACAAAACAAAGATATTTTGTTTTTAAGCATTATTTTAAACCATACAGGATTATGAACAAGTTGGGAATGAATAAAAATATACGCCTGTATAGTAGAACCTTGCTCTTTCCTAAGTAATCACAAGCAGAGGTATTACCTGGGTTTCTATCAAGTTGGGAAGCCAATCTTGTATTTGAATGATCCACTCGTTTTGTGCTGACGGGGACAAAACAAAGCTTATTTAGTAACTTTCTTTATATTTTAAAATTGTTTAATAATTAAGAGTAAGTGAGACACTAGCTTGCAAGTAAAACAAATATTATCACTTTCTGAAAAGCTCTGTTAAAAAAATAATAAAATAAAAACCAAAACCCCTGTGATTTGTTAACAGCAAAACTTGACAGTGTGCTTTTGGGAGCAAGGTTATTTTTACAGTGTCTATACACGATACAAAACAGCACTTTTGTTTTCTTCCTCCTGTTGTTCTATGAGCTTAACTAGGGGTGGGGAGAGGCAATTCTGCTTCATGCTGAAGGACAGTGGTTGTCTTGAATGAAAGCATTCGTACAACTGTTTGAACTGCAAGCTCAGCTAGTCGCTCTTTTCCCATTGCAATACCATCTTTATTTGCTCAGCTGATGTAGAAACTGTAACTGTTTTTCAGATGTGGGCATTCATCAGTTATGTCTCAAAAATTTAAAAATGAGTCTTGCGTCTTGGAATACATTGCTCTCATCTGTGATAATGACAGACTTCACGTTTTCATGCAAAATTTAAATTTTTGAAAATCTGTATTTACCACTAGAAGCCAGTTTTTGTTTTAGATTGATGGTGATAGTGATGCACATTTTTTAAAATAAAAACTTACTTATTTTTAATGGAAAGTCAGATATGCAGATGATGATCTTTCCTCCACTGATTCACTCCCCAAATGGCTGCAAAGGCTGGAGCTGCGCCGATCTGAAGCCAGGAGCCAGGAGCTTCTTTAAGGTCTCTCAAGCGGGCACAGGGTCCCCAGACCTTGGGCCGTTGACTGTTTTATCCTGGTACAAGCAGGGAACTGGATGGGAAGCAGGACCGCTGGGACATGAACCAGAATTCATATGGGATCCCAATGTGTGCAAGATGAGAACTTTAGCTACTAGGCTACTGTGCTGGGCCCCATAATGAACATATTTTCTGAAAACACTGAGTAATGAAATGTGTCAGTATTTGGAAGATTATTATTCAATGAACTGATATTTTCCAAGTGACCAATAGTTATAAAATAAAGTATGGGTAAAAGAACAGAGTATAAAATAGGGTGGTGAGAGCCCAGCATAGTAGCCTAGTGGCTAAAATCCTTGCCTAGGATGCACCGGGATACCATGTGGATACCAGTTTGTATCCCAGTAGGCCTGCTTCTCATGCAGCCCCTTGCTTGTGGCCTGGGAAGACAGTCAAGGACAGCCCAAGACCTTGGGACCCTGAACCCGCATGGTGGACCTGGAGGAGGCTCCTGGCTTTGGATCAGCTCAGCTCTGGCTGATCCTCTTGGGAAGTGGATCAGTGGATAAAAGATCTTCCTCTCCACCTCTTTGTATATCTAACACACCAATAAAAATAAATAATAAATCTTAAAAAGAGACTGGTGAATTTCACTTTAACATAGCTCTAAAAATTAATAGGTAAGCTTTATATTCCATATATTTCTTGAGTTTTAGCGAAAGATTAAAGAAAAAAATAGTCATGATTGTCTTAAAAATGCTATAAATATGAACCTGGCATGATGGCTCAGAGGCTAAATCCTGACCTTGCAAACACCAGGATCCCAGATAGGCACCAGTTCATGTCCTGGCTGCCCTACTTCCCACTCAGCTCCCTGCTGTGGCCTGGGAAAGCAGTAAAAGATGGTCCAAAGCCTTGGGACCCTGCACCTGCATGGGAGATCTGGAAGAAACTCCTGGCTCTTGGCTTCAGATCAGCTCAGTTCCAGACGTTGTAGCTGCTTGGAGGGTAAATCAGCGAATGGAAGATATTTCCGTTTTTCCTTCCCTCTGAATTTGTCTTTCCAATAAAAATAAATGTGTAAAAAAAAAAAAAAAAAGAGGCTTGGAATCGGCGCAGCAGCCTAGTGGCTAAAATCCTTGCTTGCATGTGCTGGAATCTCATATTATCTCTGGTTCTAATTCTGGCTGCTCCACTTCCCATCCAGTTCCCTGTTTGAGGCCTGGGAAAGCAGATAAGGATGGCCCAAAGCCTTGGGATCCTGTGCTTGCGTAAGAGACTGGGAAGAGGCTCCTGGCTCCTGGCCATTGTGGCCACTTGGGGAGTGAACCAGCAGATGCAAGATCTATCCCTGTGTCTCCTTCTCTCTCTCTGTATATTTGCATTTCCAATAAAAGTAAATAAATCTTTAAACAATTGGCTATGGTTTTTATTTTTCAACTTAAATATCTGTCTGAGGCTGGAATTTCTTCACATAATGCAATCAAAACAATTAATAACAGAGTTAAATGCAAAAACATTAAGAAAATAGCCCTCAAAAAAAAAAAAAACCCAGCCCTTCTAACATTGATTAGTAAACCAGTGTCACTCTCCATATATTTACTTTTAATTTTAAAAATGTATGTAATATGCTACAGATATATTATTTTGAAATTTTTAAAAAATTGTTCTTTCTTTTACAGGAACTACTGGTAAATAAAGCACATGCTACAAACATCCTACTTGGCTGAGACACTTGTGTGCCATATAGGAGTGCCTGGGTTGAATCTTCAGCTCCACCACCTCATTCCAGCTTCCTACTAAAAGGAACCAGAAAGACAGGAACGACAACGCTAGTAGTTAGCATTCTGCCACCTGTGTGGGGAATCTGGATAGAATCCCTGGGTCCTGGTTTTGGTCTCCTGGCATCTGTCTTTACCTTGCAGACGAACCAGCCAATGGGAGTGCACATATTCTCTCTGTCTCTTAAATAAATGACAACAGTAAGAGTAAAAAGATTCAGATGTTTTTAACTAATGCTTAAGAGTGTTAAGCAGAGACCAGAACATTTCTAGAAGGTTTGTTTGTCTGTTTGCTAATTCAGGGAAAGAGATTTTCCCCTGCTGGGTCACACCTCTAATGGTTGCAAGAGCCAGAATGAATCGGTCAGGAGCCAGGAACCAGGGGCTTCTTCCCAATCTCCCACATGGGAACAGGGCCCAAGGACGTGGGCCATCTCCCACTGCTTTCCCAGATTATTAGTAGAGCAGCCAGAAGTTGAACTGGTGCTGAATGTAATGGTAACTGCATGTGGTGTCTGTCTACCCACTGCATGACAGTGCCCCCCAGATTTTAAGAACTGTTGTGAAAGAACATTATTTGAGGCTGGAAGTCGGCACAGGCAAATAGGATAAAAAAATAACAATGAAATTCATGAAAAAGACAAATACCAAACGTAGTTGTAGATAAAGGAATAAAATCACTATTTAAAAGCTGGTATCTTACTTTTCACCTATTAAATATACCAGTGTGTGAAAGCACAAAGAAAAAGGCCACTGGGTTTATATATCAGAACAAACACTAAGTCAGTATGTCTACATTAAAAGCTTGAAAATGTTTATGTACCATACTTAATTCAGTAACTTCCTTTCCAAGAACTCTTCCTTAAAAATGGGATTTGGGGTAAGGGTACATAAAATGCAAATTATTTTTTTAAGATTTATTTATTTTTATTGGAAAGGCAGATACACAGAGAGGAGAGACAGAGAGGAAGAACTTCCATCTGATGATTTACTTCCTGAGTGACTGCAACGGCCGGTGCTGCGTCGATCTGAAGCCAGGAGCCTCTTCTGGGTCTCCCATGTGGGTGTAGGGTCTCAAGGCTTTGGGCCATCCTCGACTTCTTTCCCAGGTCACAAGCAGGGAGCTGGATGGGAAGTGGAGCTGCCGGGATTAGAACCAGCGCCCATATGGGATCCCAGCGCATTCAAGAGGAGGACTCTAGCAGCTAGACCATGGCGCGAGGCCCAAAATGCAAATTATTAAGCATCAGGTTGAATAGCTAGCCTTAGGAGATATGAAGAAAAACTTCAAATCCAAAGATAAACATAAATTCTTATTTTCATGAAAAAGTAGAAGTAACTAAGGTATGCTGAGTGCTAGGAATAACCAGGTGTTTCCAAGGAAACTATCAGGTACCTTATTGTAACTGTTACAATGATGCAATGATCTGACATGGTATAGCATAAAGTCTTCCTGTATTATTAACATGGAACTGAGATATTTTAGGGAGTATCACTGAAAGCAAAAAAAAGCAAAGTTTGCTCTTTCAATTATATTTATTTCTATATATTTCACTATAGCATCATGTCTTAATATATAATTATGTATGCAGAGTAGAAAAGAGGACAAGAATAATTTTCTCCAAAGTTTTTCTTTGTAAAATTCCCAAATTTTGATACTTACAGATTTTAAGAAAACAATTACAATAAAATATGAACTAGCGTGGACTTGAAATGATATTGTCATTGTGTCTATCGTTTTCCCTCATGAAACAGGCAATTAACCTTTCAGGCGTTTTATTTTACTCACTTATAGTCTCTCTCCCAGAATTTCACTGGTCGGACATATGAAGTGATGAATATTGCACTTCCCAGGAAGGGGTTCAGTGGAGTGGAGAAGATGGCCGAGACAGCAGCCTGAATAAACAGCATGGCTGAATCTACGGGAATACTGGTTAAGGAAGTCAGCGTTCACCGGTCATATGCTCTAAGAACAACTCCCCACAATCACATCCACATTACAGCAATTAGAGAAAGTTCACCAGAAAAACACCACAGAACAGCGTTAAGAGGATATTGCAAAAAAAAAACCTGAAGAAGGAAAGTAAAAGCTGTGTCATACTTTGATGGAGCTCAGAGCAACACAAGGTCATCTCCAAAAACCCACGGGAAAACATGCACGGTATTTTATTTCATTTTCTACAAAAAATTTTAAAGTCTTCCTAGCATGTGCTAATGTTTACAAGGTAATGAGAAGGTTTTTTGGCAAATGGAATTAAGAGATAAGTTGAAGGGTGGGCATTTGGCCTGCAGGTTCGAGACACGGGTAGGGAAGCCTGTACCCCATGCTGAAGCCTCTGAGCTCAAGCCAGAGCTCCTCTCCTGATCCCAGCTGCCTGCTGCTCCAGACCCCAGGAGCCAGCAGGTGATGGTTCAAAAGTGTTGGGGTTCCTGTAACCCACCTGGGAGAAGCAGATTGTGTCCCCAGCTCCTGGTTGTGGCCTGGCACAGCCCCACGTGGGAAAGGACAAAGCACACAGGAGCTTTCTGTCTCTTCTCTAGCTAATGCTTTTTAAAAGATGTTTTATTGCAAAAACTGAAATCTACACAAGATTTTTCATAATACGCAGTTTCCATAAATTTTCTGAAGACTCCTTATTTGGTAAAATTCTATGTTAATCTTGAGAAGGAATGCTTAGCTTCATTTTCTGGAAGGTTAAAACTAAAATCTGTAGTCTCCAGAAGTCTGCCTTTCAACGTTACTACCATGCCATCAATTTTTGCTGTTCAGCAAATACTTCTAAAAAATAAAAACAGAAAACTTTAGATATAAATATAATTACAATTGTGCTCTGTACCTTCAATTTGTACCTTCATTCATTTATGAATTTTAGCAGATGGCATTGTGGTATAGTGTGTTAAAGCTGCTGCCCGTAGTGCCAGTGTACTATGTGGTTGCCACTTTGGGTCCCAGCTCTTCCACTTTGACCCAGCTCCCTGCTAATGTGCTCGGGAAAGCAGTAGAGGAGGATCCCACAGCTCAGGCCTCTACACCCATGCGGGAGACCAGGAATACGTATCTGGCTTCTGGCCTCAGCCTGGCCCAGATCTGGCTATTTGGTCCATCTGAGGAATAAACCAGCACGCTGAAGATCCTTTTGTCTCTGCCTTTTCGTAACTATGACTTTTACATAAATAAAATACATTAAAAAAACTCTAAGCACATTTACATGTAGTGAAAATTCCCAGCCTTTTCAGCAAGCATTTGGCCTAGAGGTTACTATGCCCGTCTCCCATACTACATCACCTGGATTCAATACCTGGCTTCACTTACGCGCAGCTTCCAAGGAACTCAGATCCTGAGAGGCAGCAATGATGGTTCCTGACAAACATGTGGAAGCCCTGGCCCTGGTCCCAGCCTCCCAGACTTCACTCTGGCTCTTGCCCGGCCTGGCGCAATCGTAGGCATTTGAGGAAATGAATCGAGAGGAGCTTCCCCACCCGCATCTGTCTGTCTCTGCCTCTCAAATAAAACGAAAGACATTCTTGGATTTTAATATTCATATATGTAAATAAAATTCAAATCAGCATTACTTACAAAAGCTAATAGCTTTCTTATGTTTGCCAGACCTGTGGGTCACAGATGTTAATATATGTTAAACTATCAAAATTAAGACCAGGAATGAATATTGAAAAACTTGATTTTCAAATAATTTTCACAAGAGTAGCCTATATTCTATGCCTATGAAAACTTCACTCTATCAACTGATAATACCATCAAAAATATAACTGCCCACTCCTACAAAACGCTGAGAAGGATACGGGGCACTGCAAAAGGCTGTGCGAAGGCATGGAAAGCAGAACCCCACGTGATCTGCCATGGGGCAATGTAGGTATACACGAACTGCAACTTATAAAGGAGCTCTCGAAGCTGCAGGGGCAGAAGCAAAGCCATCAGTGAAACTCAAGACTTGTAAATCACTCTTCTTGCCAATGAAATGACACAGAAATTCTTTTTGCGTAACAGGACAAACTATATCTACTGCCAAAACAATTTAGCTATTTTAAAATACACTGTTTTCAAGTAAAGATTACTATCTCATGGATTTCACCTGTTTAGAAAAAATATGCTCTCTACTGGCCAAACACATGAATTACTACTAATTACAAGCAATAACAATGAAAGGTAAGAGGCAGTGAAATAATTATCCTCAAAATAAAATTTACATTTCCGTAAAACTTAAGTGATACATAGATTTATTTTAACTTAAGACATATTTTCACCAAATTTTACTGCTGTGTAAACTGAGTTTGTTGTAAATATAATATCAAATGGAATTTGGAAACAGCATTTATAATTTGGTTGTTACCGCCTGCTTGAGGGATTTTAGTTGCATAACTAGCACCCATTAACAACCTCAACTGTTACCAACAGGAAACACGACACATAGTTCAATCTTATTTAAATCTGAATCTGTTACGGTTTTTGAATACCTTCAATGATGACATTTGTTGCCTGCCTAAGAATGTTCGGCAATGCAAAGCCAATTCTCAAAACAGATCTCATTAAAGCAAGAAGTTTTAACTAAGTCCATGCCAGGATTAGATAACACTTTGTCCTCTACCATATTTTAGTTGATTTTCAAATTACTTTATCCACATTTCAATTTTAAAAATCACAACTCAACTAATTAGAAAATGCAGATGAAACCCCTGTGTCTGGGGATACAACTCAGAGTTCTGCAGAAAACCCTCAGCCAGGGTGTATAGTCAAGACCACAGCAAAGAGCAGCAGCCTGGACACATCATGACACCACTTCAACCCTTAAAAGCACAGGCTCAGGAAACTGCTCAGATTCTAAACATGAAGTATTAAACATGGTGCAAGTATCAAAGGAAAATTATATATGTAATTACGTGGATAAGTGGTTGGAGGATATTAACACTTCTGAATAATTTAATTTTTGCTTAAAAAGTTATTAAATCGATGGTGTACCTTACACTGCTCACTGCCATCTCAGAATTATACACACACACATACATATCCTTTATATATTACCTGCCTATAATAATAATAAGGTCTTATCCACTGACCATAATAAAATGCAAAACTCCTTAAGGGTAAAGCCTCTTCTATTTTGTTCACGGATGTAATTAAAACATTTAGAACAATTCTGGAAAATACTATTCCTTACAGAAACATTTTTAAAAATCAAAGTACTAGCAGTATGTGTTGTGGCACAACAGGTTAAGTTGCCAGCTGGGATATCCACATTTTGTATAGGAGCGTAATTCAAGTCCTGGCTTCCTTTTCATGCATTCTGGGAGGTAGCAGAGAAGGACTCAGCGCTTGGGTCCCTGCCACCTATGTGGGATACCTAGATGGAGTTCCAAGTTCCTGGCTGTGGCCTGGTCCAGCCCTGGCTGTTGCAGGCATTTCAGAAGTGAACCAGCAGATAGCACATACCACACTCTTTCTCTGCCTTTCAAGTAGTAAGAGAATCCAAATTAGTGAAGTATAAAATATACTTCACAGTGCAGGGTGTTTCAAAGATTGTTCAGTTTGTATTCTATTGCAACTTTCACTTTTATCCAACCTAATAGTAGTAGTAAAATTAAAAACAATTTCTAATCTAAATGTTTAAATTTATTGAAAAACCGTTAGTTTCTTTATACAAACAATTCCCTGGTTGGTTTGCTGGCTTCCTTCTTTATTCAATAACCATGCTCACTAAAAGAAGTAACAAAATTTATGTGTAACATCAGATTGGAATATTTTTAGAAACTATCACAATATTGAAACTAACACTGAAACCTTGTTTAAATGAAGTATTTCTCCAATGTTACTATTCTCATCCTAGGGTAGTGCCATTATTACATCTGAATTGCTACCATATTCCTTAAGCTCTAGGTTCTTTCCTGAATTATCCCAATGGAGCTGACCAAGCTCTCTTTCTTAAAATTGGACTTCCAACATGTTTTGTAGCTGTTCAATGGCTTCAGCTCTGTTTTCCATCAACACAGGTCAAAGTCTTTTATATGTGCTCAGTGATAATATAAACTTTAGAATTTTATTTACAAATAATCTGGCAGTACAATTAGCTTCATTTTGAAAAATAATGTAGTTTGGCAAAAAGATGCATGGATTAGGAGGCACAAGACCCAGGTTTTACCATTTCATCTGCAAAAGGCCTATTAAGGGCAGTTATCTAGGTCACAGACGAATATTTGATTTTAGAAGACTACTGCAGACTTCAGAGTATTTTGTGTAACCAGTCTAATTTCTTATTGTTCCAATATGGCTTCATATCTTTGTTCAGCTATCAAGTTACTATCTTCAGCTGAAATTTGTTCCTTCCATTTACCCAGCAGCCCAAAATCCAAATCTATAATTACCATTTCTTATTTGTAAAAATTATTTTAAATGGCACTCCCTGTTGGAAGATGCTATATTTTTCAAAAACACTTAAGCCTCCCCAATTTTTCTATATAATTCTCCATCCATCTAAAGTCAGAAATGCATCTTTAATCAACCACAGTGGTGGCCCTGTTAGGAGTAGGGTGCAGAATCTTTTTCTGACAAAGGCCATTTGGATACTTAGCACATCATATATAGGCCAACTAAAAAATTAGCCTGCCACAGACTGACTGAATTTTAAATCCCATCTGCAACTGCTTAGCAGGGTCAAAGCAAATGATTTTATCAGTGTTACATTTTTGCCTTTTGACTAGACATCCTCATCCCAGACAACAGACTGCAAAGCTCCTAAAACAGTGGCGGGTTAGAAATGTATTGCTCGTGCTGGCCTTGGTAGCACATACACTAAAATAGATACTGTTCACTTCAAAGAACACCAGTTATGAAATGTATGCATCACTGACACTAACTAGTGCATCACACAGAGGAACGACTTGTACACACAGGGATGTTCCACGCGGTAAGTTACCTTGCTGAAGAGTATGGACATAAAGAAGAGATCCAATAGCATGGTCTCCGAGAAAGCTTCATAGTCAAACTTGAAGAAGAGCACAGTAAAGATGACTGTGATGTACTGGTAGGTAGGGCTGCTGAAGGAGGAGCGCAGCAACTTCAAACCAGCAATGGTGATCATCAAAGCACCTAGTCTGTTACAGAGAGAAAGCACGACCCACTGACACACGGCCACAAACACTGGAAAGCCTCATGTGGGCAAGATCATCACTTAATTCATAAGGTTTACAACACAGGGGTCACATTTAAACTTCTAAAAATGGTATAGTTAAATGCATCATATCCTGAAAGGATCTGACTAGTGTAATATTCTCTTTTAATAGTAGATACCAAGATTCTTATCCTTTATATAAACAAGCATGTTTAAAAAACAGCACTGGCATTCTGACTTCTGATTCTCTAGTTCCAGCTCTTTAGAAGCCATCTAGCACATGAAAAACACAATGCTTATTCAACAACACAAGTCTATTCTAGTGGGTGACTGTGGGTAACTGATCATTTGCATGGTATAATGTGCGCAAAGACAGTCACCTTCCAAAATCACTTTCTAACAGTAAAATTAAGCTGTCCTTACATCATCCCTTAACATACCAGTTGGCAGTGAATGACATGTTTGGAGTAGTGAATATGCCAAGAGCAGCAATGGATGTTCAAAACAGTGAAGTCAAGGACAAAATTTTACCTAACTTTTTATCTCACAGTGTCTTGTAACCAAAAGACAATCAATGAGTACCTGATCCTTGGTAACTTCAGACACAGCTTGCTATAGCCCTGGGTGGTCAAACATAGATCAGGGAACTATGGTACTTACTCTGTATCCAGTTTCTTGGGGCTAGCAATTGTCTCCGCACTGCTACTCAGTTCATTCAGAACAATCAAGGGATAGATAACATTCTTCTCCACAAAAAGAAGCCACACATGAAGTTTCTCAAACCACATCATGGTGGCTGCATCTAATAGTAACACAAGTCAAGAAGACCACATCATCTAATAGATATAGCAGTAAGGCAATGTGATGATAAATAAAAATTCCATAATACAAATTTAGTTAGATACTTTAAATTCAAAATGTAAGACATCCAGTGCTGGCAATGTGACACAAGGGGTTAAGCTGCAGCCCATGATGCCAGCACGCCATACGGGTGCCGGTTCATGTCCCGGCTGTTCCACTTGCAGTTCAGCTTCCTGTGGATGCACCTAGAAAAGCGGCAGCAGACGGCCCAAGCCTCTGCGTCCTGCTCCCTTTTGGGAGACCTACAAGAAGATCCTAGCTCCTGGCTTCAATTTGGTTCAGCCTTGGTCACTGAGGCCATTTGGGGCACGAACCCACAGATGGAAGATTTCTCTCTGTATTTCTTTCTAACTCTACCTTTCAAATAAATACAACAGATATATTTTTTTTAAAAAAATGTATTTATTTTTATTGGAAAGTCGAAAATACAGAGAGAAGGAGAGACAGGAAGATCTTTTGTCTGCTGATTCACTCCCCAAGTGGCCACAATGGCTGGAACTGCAACAATCCGAAGCCGGGAGCTTCTTCCGGGTCTCCCACAAGGGTGCAGGGTCCCAAGGCTTTGGGCTGTCCTTTACTGCTTTCCCAGGCCAAAAGCAGAGAGCTAGATGGAAAATGGAATCACTGGGACACGAACTGGCACTCATATAGGATCCTGTAGTGTGCAAGGCAAGGATTTTAGCCACTAAGCTACCACACTGGGACCCTACAATAAATCCTAAACAAAATTATAATTAACTATGTAAAGATTGTCAAAAATATAATAAAAATTAGAGAAGAAAAGAAAAAATTGTAAAAAATCCAGCAATGGAATCAGCTATCAGTTTATATAAATTCTAAGAACTTGCAAATTGGACATGAATTACATTTGATGAACATCATTTTAAACCTTAAATCTTGACGCTTTGGTTTGACTGTTTATTTTTATTTGAGAGTCAGAGAGAGACAGAAAAAGAGTTCTCCCCTTTCAATTTAGTCCCCAAATGCCCACGAAGGCCAGCACTGGGTCAGAAGCAACGGGTCTCTGTGGGAGCAGCAGGGACCCAGCATCACTGCCTCATAGAGAGGACCTGAAGCCATCAGTGCGCGCCCAGGATCTGAAGCAGATGCTCCCAATGTTGAGGTGCAGGCGTCTTAACTCCAAGGCCAACACCTGCTCAGAGAGTTCCATTTTTAGGTGTAACTTTCCCCCACTTACGCCTGTAATGTGTGGATGAAGAAAAGATTATGGAGAATTATCTGACCTCCTTTCCCTTCAAAAATAAACAAATGATCTAGTTTAAGTTTCTTTTTTAAAACCAACTTATTCACTTGAAAAATACAGAGACAGGGAGGAAGACACAGAAACAAGATCTTTCATCCATTGGTTCACTCCCCAGATGTCCCCAAAAGCTGGGGCTAGGCCAGGCCAAAGCCAGGAGTCAGGAACTACGTCTGGGTCTCTTATGTGAGTGGTGAGAACTCAACCACCAGGGCCATTAACTGCTGCCCCCTGGAGCATGAGCTGGAACCTGCATCTGAAGTTCAGAGCAGCTGGAACTCAAACCTGGCATTGTGACAGGAAAGATAGGCCCCACGCTGAGGATTAACCCACTGTACTAAAATGCTTGTGTATATTACCTGATTTTAAAATGCTAAGCTACACAGATGCAATATGAAATGCAATATCTACTCAGAGCAGATATGAAAATATATGAATTAATACTTCAGAAGGGTTATTTTTCATTGCAATATTTTCTAACATTTCCATATAATTCATTGGGGAAAGTGTCTAGGATAAGCTAAATGATTTGAAATGCATTTCCCTTTCACCTAAAAACGGTATCACCTGGCTTTAGAAAGTTTCCTAATAAACATTTTTCTTTCAGTTGTTAAAATCAGGAGGGGAAAAAAACACTTTGTTATTAGTGGATACTTTGGATAAGTCAAAAATTTTATGCTAAAAATTTGCAGAACTGTGGTTATGCAACAAGGTGGAGGAAACCACCATGGGGGGAGGGTTTGGGGAAAGTGGGGGGAATCCCAGTACCTATAAAACTGTGTCACATAATGCAATGTAATTAATAAAAAAAATTTGCAGAATCTAGATTAATCTTTTGATAAGATGAAAAATGAAAAGTTGGTAGGAATAGACTAAAAACACAGGTTTATTTTGATGCCAAAAAAATATTTAGGAGCTGGCACTGTGATGTAATGGGTGAAGCTGCCACCTATAACCCCAACATCCCACATGGGCAACAGTTTACGCTCCAGCTGCTCCACTTCCGATCCAACTCCATCATAATGATCTGGGAAAAGCAGTAAATGGCTCAAGTGTTTGGTCTCCTACCTGCCACCCACGGGAGAGACCCAGATAAAGCTCCTGACTCCTAGTTTCCTCCTTGTTCCAGACTGGGTCTTCACCGCCATCTAGGGAGCAAACTAGTGGATGTAAGATCTCTGCCTCTTTTCTCTGTAACTCTGACTTTCAAATAAATCAATCAGTCTTCAAAAATAATTGAAAACCATGCAGTCTTCATAACCTATTTCTCCAGAATTCTGTGAGCATCTCTTAGATTCTGTGGAATGTTATAACTGCAGCACTGCCACTTAAAACTTCAGCTGAAATGACAGCATGCTGTGAGCGATCAGATTCAGAAACTACTTCAAATCTAAAATTAAGAAGCATAAGCCCAAGTGCTACTTGATGACACTGAGCTCATTTATCAATATAGTCATGAAAAGGAAAAAAGACCGACAGCATCAAGGAGAGTGTAAAGGAAATACTTACTTCGAACTTCGTATTGCTTATACTCTACTGTCTTCAGCAGAGGATGAGAGAAACAGTGCCAGGGCAGCTGTTTTCTAACTTGAGGCAGCACATAATGGGCCACAAACCCCACAAAGCCGACCAGTGCATACAACACATACCTGAGAGCGGGCTGGAAGAAAAGGAGAGAAAATCACAAGTGAATCGGAAACACCCACTGGAATGAAGCAAAGCAAAGAACCTCAAGGAGGAATCACAGAACATCATCCAGCAGCCAACAGTCACACGGGAGCAGACCCACATCTGTCCCCAGAAGCCAGACTGGACAAGCTCAGATCCACAGTGGGGGATATTTTCCTGACTATGTGAGGACCTGATCCAATCATAGAAATTTTAATAGAAAGAACTGGAGGATCAAGCTATTAAATAATAGTGCCCTAGAAAAAAGTTTCAGAATATTTCTCAAAGTACAAAAACAACATTTAACAAAGTAAACTTAATATTGTGTGACAAGAATGACGAAACTTAAACCCACAGCTGGAGAGATATTACACAGAATGAGACCAGCTTTTTTTTAAGTTTATTTTTATTGGAAAGGCAGATATTCAGAGAGTAGGAGAGACTCTGAAGCCAAGAGCCAGGAGCCTCTTCCCGGTCTCCCACATGGGTGCAGGGTCCCAAGGCTTTGGGCCATCCTTGACTGCTTTCCCAGGCCACAAGCAGGAAGCTAGATGGGAAGCGGGTCTGCCAGGATTAGAACCGCCCATATGGGATCCCGGCGTGTTCAAGGTGAGGACTTTAACCATTATGCTACTGCGCCGGGTGGGAGACCAACTTCTAAAGACAAAACTGTAAATTCTGAGTTGAAAAATACACTGGATGGAATTAATGGCAGATTTCAAACTACAGAAAAGTTAAAACAGAGGAGAAAACAAATATGAACAAAGCATCAAGATGACTGTGAGACAACTTTCAAAGGTCTTAGACATATGCAGCTAGAAAATCCATGGGTCAGATGGTGACGGGGCAGAGGAAGGGCGGAGAAAAAGAGCAAAACATCTTAAGTAATGACAGTCAGTTTTTCAAATATGATGAAAACTGTAAACCACAGATAAAATGAACCCTAAGCACGGAAACAAACAAAAGTACATGAAGAAAATCTCATAATCCTATTATTCAAAACTTATGACGAAAAGAAAACCTTATAAGCAGCAGACAGAAAACAAGCTTATCTAGAGAAATAAAGGTACCAGCAAGGGCAGGCATTAGGCATCCGTGGATAAGATGCTGTTGGCATCTCCCACCGAACCGCCCGAGTTGAAGTTCTGACTCCACCCTCAATGACAGCTTCCTTTCAATGTATACCTTGCAGGGTGAAAGGTGAGAGGCCAGGTACTTGGGGGTCCCTGCCACCCAAGGGAAATATCGTGTATTAGTTCCTGGTTCCTCACTGGCCTGGGTCAGTCCCAGCTACTGTGGACACTTGGCAGTGAACCAGTGACCAGATCTTTGTCTCTGCCTTTCAAATAAAAAATAAAAAAGATAACCAGTAGATTTCACGTACAAAGTAACATCAAGGAGAAGACAGTGGAGCAAAATCTTCAGTGCTGAATGAGAAAGTCATATTGCCATTTCAGATCCGCTGAAGGATCTTTCAGCACCAATGACAAATGGATTCCTTCAGAAACATAAAAGCTTGAGAGGATCTGCACATTCATACTGGAAAAACAAAATGTTCCAGAAAATCATACAAGAGATGAAAAGTGATTCCATTTGTTCTGTGGTGACCACACTGACAGCATGATCAGACTCGAGGGGTCTCGACACTGGATGTAGGGAAGATTCTAGACTGCAGCTGAATTTGAAAGGCAGCTCAGCAAAGCATTACGTGCATTTTGCACAACACAGCAATGTAAAACATGGAGGACAATAGTCACTTTATGATAGTCAGGCACAAAAACATAACCCTGACCTCCCAGTATCGACACCTGTCCACGTTCCCTTGCCTCACAACACCAGGACTGGTCTACTGACCGGGAACAGATCGCTGAAGAAATGACTGAACACCATTTCCCATATCAGATTACGAGAGTGCCCTGAGTCTGCTCTTGGTTTTCTTCTTTCAAGGAACACTCATTCTGGGGGAAATCAGCTGTCATTTCAGGACACTCAGGCAGCCTATTATAGAGAAGACTGCATGCGGAAGTGGTTTCTGAGCAACAGTCAGCAGAGCCTAGGACCTACAAACAATTAACCTTAGTACCAGCAAAGATCCCAAGGTAGCATCAACCAATCATGACCTGGACCAATCATGAGAAAATACCTGACAAATTAAGCAAGAAGTCATCTATGAGTATCTCATAGAAAAACATCAAATTATGGGGCTGGCATGAGAGTGCAACTGGCTAATCCTCCACCTGCAAGCGCCTGGATCCCATATGGGTACTGGTTCATGTCCTAACTGCTCCACTTCCCATCAGCTCTTTGTTCGTGACCTGGGAAATCAGCAGAGGATGGCCCAAAGCCTTGGGATCCTGCATTCAGGTGGGAGACCTGGAAGAGTCTCCTGGCTCCTGGCTTCAGATCAGCTTAGCTTTAACAGTTGCTGCCATTTTGGTTGTTAACCAGCAGATGAAGATTTTTGTTTCTTTATTTCCTTCTGTAAATTTGCCTTTCCAATAAAAATAAACAAATCTTAAAAAAAAAAAAAACCCTTAGAAATGAATCCACACTTACTCCTCAACTGAAACAGCAAAATGACTCCTTACCTGCAAAACTGTAAACACCGTGCTCACATGAATAGCAAAATACAGCACACCGATTACAACGCACACAACTAGGTCAGACTGCAGACGGTCACTCTGTGAAGCACAAAGAAAAAATTTAACAATGACACAGATTTTTTAAAGTCTTTATTTCTAATCAGCAAAGTTTAAAAAATAATACATCTTTTGCTAACTGGGAACTATGCCCAGAACAAAAATTGGTTCAAATTATATCTTGAAGCAGTTTTGTACTTCTACTCTGTCAACAGCTTAAGTTTATTCAAAGTACATATTGCTTACTTCAACATTTCTAAATTCAGTCTTTCATAAATGGAAATAATGTAGGTAGAACAAAGAGTGTTTTAATGCTTTGTTGCACAAGGTATATATGAAATCTATGGAATCTTTATCAGAATTCCTTGGCCAAAATTGTTTTGCATTCAGATTTTTTCAGATGTGAAAGTAGCTTCATACATGTGCTGAGAATTCTTGTGGTTGAGACTGAAATCTAAACATGAAATTCATTCATGTGTCATATACATAGAATACAAGCCCAAAGGTAAGTTTTCACAAAGATTTTGGTATGCCTGCATTTTTGACTGTGACCTATTCCATGAGGGTAAGAGTGGGATTTTCCACTCTGGTCCCTCAAAAACTTTTCAGATTTTGCAGCATTTTGAGTTTTCAGCTTAGAGATGGCTTGATCTTCAAGCAAAATGCAGAATGAAGGCAAATCAACAATGTATTTTAACTCTTCTAAATGTAACTATACAGCTTTCAAGAACTACTAAATATTTTCAAAAAGACTTCATTATTTAACCATGTTCAATTCTCTAACCTAAACATGGCTTTAAAAGCTAAAATTCTGGGCTGGTCAGGCTTCTCTGATACCTTTGTCACACATAGGTGCCAACTCAAATCCTAGCTGTTCGATTTCCTATCCAGCTCCCCATTAATGTGGCTGAGAAGCCAGCAACAGATGGCTCACGTGGCCCTCACACCCACGCAGGAGACGCAGGTAACATTCCTAGCTCCTCGCTTTGGCCTGGCCAAGCCCCAACCTTTGTAGCCATTTCGAGAGTGAACCCACAGATGGAAGCTCTCTCTCTCTCTTGCTCCCACATCTCTCTTTTGGTAACTCTACCTTTCAAATAAAAAAATAATTAGAGAGAAAAAAGCTGAAACTTACAACAGAATTTCTAAGTTTTTCAGGCAACGGATCTTTTACTTCAGACAAAGGGTCTTCTGGATTTTTCTCTTCTGTTTTTGGAAAAATCTTAGATTGCACCAGAGAGCTTTACATTAAAAGGAGAAAGAAAATAATTAATACATAAAAAGCATAAAAAACAGTCATTCCAATGGCAAATAAAATCTATGGTAGAAAACCAAGTGATCCAAGTATATTTAATCACCAGGAAACAATAAATTCTAAAAAGTTTGAACTATCACTAATGAACAGAGTGAAAATATATTAGTCACATGGTTCTCATACCTCAAAGGAAAAAACTAGCACTTTCAACCAACATGGTGACAAGGAGACAAAGTTAATATAGTTTGAAACCTAGTAACAGTCATAGATTAGACCCATAGTATTGTAGAAAGGCACTGGAAAAAAGAGATCTTGGAAGTTACCTAGAAGAAACACCAATTTATTTAATTCTTTATTTCAATAAAGACTGGCTTTACTTACAAAAGTACTGATGGATCACTGCTCTGTCGGCTGAGATGATAGGATACGGCCACCAACAAACCACAAAAAACGGAGAAGAGTACTGGGATATGCTGGCCATCCCAAGAATCCTGTTGTAAGAAAATTAACAGATTGACATGTATCTAATTTACCAGCTACCATATATAATCCTTCAATGTCAGTATTTTTAAAAAGGACAAGTTAAATTCAACAAAACATTTTAGTCATATTTTTATTATTTCAGACAAATTTAGACTTTATTACTTTCTGATGAGGTATAATTTAGCTGCTAATTTAAAATCTAATAGTAAATTGATTTAAATTGTTAATCTAATTTCATTGAAAGGATTTAGTAAGAGATTTCTTTTGGTACTGAAAATTAAACCTAAAATATCCATAAAGGGCAGTCCACGTTAAATGCTTAAAACTTTAAAAAGTACAAGAAATAGAAAAGATGGGCAAAAAAAAATCAGTTCCAATAGCTGAAAGTAGCTCTGGGAGAGAAAAAGGCCTAGGATGCTACTGATCCTGGTAGTAGCTTCAAAAACAACGTGTTCGATTCTAGCATACATGCATGTCTAACTCTTGATAAAATTAGAACCAGAAGATGGCATGTGAGGCAGAGGAGTCAGCTGCCTCCTGGGACACCCACATCCCACTTCAGAGTACCCCGTGCAGTCCTAACCACCCTGCACTGCAATCCAACCTCTGCTAACACGTCTGGGAGGAAGCAGATGATGGCCCGTGTGTGCGTGCATTTCCCCCACCCAATGTGGGAGTCTCGGAGGGAGTTCTTCACTTCCGGTTTTGGTCTGACTTAGCCCTGGCTGCTGGCAGGCATTCAGGGAATGAACCAACGAAAGGAAGATCTCTCCTAATCTAAATGCTGGACTCAGAACCCTAACGAAGAAAAGAGAGAAGACAGAACAGGTCAACCAACCATCTAAGCTATGATGGACTATGTCAATCAGTGGATTTTTCAAAGACCTCATAGTGCTTGGAGCGGCAAGATTGACAGCGATTCATAACTGTTGCAATATCAACACCACTTGAGCAAGAACCTCAGAGCATGCCCTACACCCGGGACTTGGGGAGGGTGGGAAATTGGGTGGGCCTTCTCCCTTAATACCCCCCTTTTAAACATGAAGGTAACAATATGGAAAACATATTAGTATTATCCACTTTCCTGTAGCCCTTGAACCTTCTTACCCTAATTAACTATGTAAAGAATGTCAAAATAAAATTTATTAATAAGGAAAAAATAAATAAATAAATAAATAAATAAATAAATAAATAAATAAATAAATAAATAAATAAAAGAAAGGAAGATCTCTCATTCTCTCTCTCTCTGGTTTTTTTTTTTTTTTTTTTAGCTCTGTGTCTCCCTTTCCCATCACTAAGTCTATCAGTAAATACATCTCAAAAACAAAACTAAAGCAAATGTTTACCACAGGAACTGTGCAAAACAAGCAGTTTCATTTCTAGGTATTTACCCAAGAGAAATGAAAGAATATGCCCACAAAAACACCTACGTAATGATATTCACAGCAATATTATTCAAAATATCCTGAAACTAAAACAACTCAATGTGCACATCTATAGAAGTAGATAAACTGTGATGTTCTTATACCATAGGAATAAGAGGATTTAAACCTAAAGGAGATACTTCCCTGCGGTACAAATTATGGCCACACTACAAGTAAATCTCAAAAGTACTCCACTGGGGATAACACTGTGGGGCACTCAGCTAAGCTACCACTTGCAATGCTGGCATCTCATATTAGAGTGCAGTTCAAGTCCTGGCTGCTGCTTCTCATCCAGTTCCCTGTTAATGTTCCTGGGAAAGCCGCAGAAGATGGGTTAGCTAACTGGGCCCCTGCTACCCTGGTGGGAGTCCTGGATGGAGTTCCACGTTCCTGGCTTTGGCCTGGACCGGCTCCAGCTTCTACAAAGATTTGCAGAATGAAACAGCGGATGGATGAGGATCTCTTCGTTCACTGTGTTTTTCAAATAAATGCATAAGTCATACACACAAACACACATATACATGTATGTGTGTGAATATATATGTATCCAGAAGATATCAAAGAACTACATGCCTAGCCTACAGTGAAAGAAAAACGAACAATATGGGAGGGGACAACGTTTCCTGAGATAACAGAACATTCTTTTTTGTATCAAGACACTATTCATTAAATAACCCGTCTTTTCTTAGCGGTTACAATACTCCTTTGTTTCATCAGCTGAACTGGATGCCTGAATCTGTGTCTGGACTCTGCAGGCAGTCTCATTGGCCTGTCTGACCTCTCTATACGCTGCATTCCTCATAGAATGAAAATACTTATGGAAATCTGCCTTACAACAACCTCAACGCCACTGCCTTGTCGCACGGCTGTCGTCCAGAACTGTCTCAGCATTCTCACATACACATTCTTCCAAAACAATTTGTTAAATGGTCAGAATTTCAAAAAGTATTCTATTTAATTGGAATTAACACTGAATTCATGGGACACTTTGAGAAGCAAAATCTACAGGAACTATGGAGCTATTTTATATCTTGATGGAGTACAGATTACACAAGTGCACACTAATTTTCAGGCAAAAAAAAATGTACAGCTGATTTCAAAATGACTTATTTAGATTAAGAGTTCAGAATTATCATGTGGTCAAAGCAATTCATGAACACCTCCCGTTGTTTGGACTACCCTACAACAGGTATTGAAAAGGTAATTCCCAACGTAATAGTATTGGGCGGTAAGCAACTTTGAGAGATAGTAAGGTCATGAAGAAGCCGTCACAAATAGGACCGATACCCTTATAAAGAGAGACCTTAGAGACACAGCTCTCCTGTACTCTTCCCACCAGGTGAAACTGTAAGACAGCCGTCTACAAGCTGGAAAAGGCCACATCAGAGCCAAACCACACAGGCACCCTGATCTTCAGAACTGCAAGAAGCAAACTTCTGTTGTTTATTAAGCCACCAGCCTATGGTACTTCATTATGGCAGAGGGTCTAAGACATTTCCCTAAATTACAAATTACATACAAACTAATTTGCTTAGGCAAATTGACATAGGTCCAAGAACCAAGTGGACAATAGAAGGTCTAAATACTATTATCCTAAAGCACATTAGCAATGCTCTAGATTCCAAAAATCTCCAGAAACAACATGTAAAAATACAATGAAAAACAATAGCAAATATAAATAAAGACAAAATTAGGAAACAACAGAGATCAAGACATACACAAAGTAATAACAAAGTGTTATATAACAAAACACTTTAAAAACTCAAGATTAGCTGAATATAAATATTATTAAATCCATTCAGTAATTTCCCATAATGTCCATTTTCTACAGACTACTTTTTTTGTGTGTAGAAATCAAGTCTTATAAAGCAAAAATAAAAAACAGTGTCAAATAACTGGGAAAATGTTCACAGTACAAGTATTTATCTGGACAATAAGACACTGGACTCTATGCATGTTACATGCTTGCAATGAAGGAATCATGACTGAATATGAACTGTACTACTGCAACAATGTGGAGGAATCCAACATGGGGGAGGGTTTGGGGGAATCCCAGAGCCTATGAAACTATGTCATAAATTAAAAAAAAAAAAAGAATTCTTTCCTCACGCACTGCTTCCTGTCAATTCTGATCAGCAATCTTCTTCTTTACTTTCATTTTGCTAATGACTTCTAAATGTATTATTAACTCACTTGACTATAAAATATCAACAATGCACTGTACAAGTGTAAACAAACCCCATCTTCACCAAGCCCAGTGTTTCCAATCCTGCGCATTAGTGCCACTCTCTCGTCCTATTCTCCTAGACCCTACTCTGCCTCTGCTCTCTACTCAAGTTATCCCCATTTACATTTGTGCGACCCAATTTGAAACACTACATTCTGTTGTGACCACCCCTCACTTCAATGTCCTTCATGCTAGAGTCAAGTCTTCTTCTAAAATGCAACTTTAATAATTTGTTTGCCTTTCAGGTATACTGCTGGTCTTTGATCTTCATCCTAACACATTCAAGATGAAAGATATTGCATAGTCCAGGCCTTATCCTCCCAGTCTTACTGCAGGCCATCTTCCCTCATTTAACCTACCCTCATTTAATCTATTTTAACTAGCAATGAGGGAGCCCAGGACTACAACAGGCTGGAATGACCCCTCCTGCAGCTCCTTGCCAACACAGAAAAGGGCAGAAGGATGTCATTAATGACAAGATCTAGGTTTCAATAAAAGCAAGACAGAAAGGCTCCAGAAGACTGCCCCTGGCCTTCACTGCCCCCTTGACCCTCAAGGAAGGCCCCTAGCCGCCACAGTAACTAATGTGGAACAATTCTCTGTTCCCTGGTGATAACGTGGTAGACCTCCGCAGCGTGGCTGCTCTATTTCTACCAGTGACTCCCATGCTGCTTGGAGCTTTTCTTTCTCTTACTCGTATCTGCTTTCACCATTAAATCTGGTTTCATAAACTGTCATCAATACCGGGCCACAAAAACTGGCTTATCTCACCAGCTTTCATGGAAGAACAATTCTAAATTACTTATTGTTCCCTCTACACACTGTCTTTTGCTCTGCATGACTCAACTAATTCTTATTTAGCTTTCAAATTTTGGCTGAAGTCTCCCACCACCAAACTACCTCAACCCCCTAGTGAGGAAATTATCTTTAATTCCTTTTGGCTAAATAATGCAAGCTTACTTTTTATATCCATGGCACTCCAATTTGATAGCCATCGTTACTCTGTACTAAACATATGGATTTATTTGTTAATCAAAGCTAACCTTTAATCGCCTTAAAAGCAGGAAGTAATTTTTAGCATACCCTGATACATTTAACAACTGAGGCAAGGAAGCTAAATTTTCGTAGTCCTTTCAACTATATTATGCTTTGTCTTAAATTAATGATTTCTAAAAACTCAGAGGAGTATGCCTGAGGTTGAAAGTTTCTGTAAAAAGATGAAAATTTTCATGTTTACAATTTGAAAATAACATTGCTTATAAGGCTCATCTACACTGTTCTAACACAATGATATTAATTGCTAGTGTATTTTTATTAGCATGTGTCTTGTATTTCCTTAGCTTGCTTCTGTGAGTTTAATGAAACAATGAAAAAGAGTAGTTATATAAATTCTTAACTCAAAATTAAAAAAAATTTCAAATTCTGCAACTTCCATGCCTATCCCTATTCCACTTGAGCTTAGACTCAATAACCTGTTTCTACGTTTTTTTTTTTAAGAGATGTATTTATATATCTGAAAGGCAGAGTTACAGAGCTTGGCTAAAATGGTGGGTGCTGGGCCAGATGGCAGCCAGGAGCCAGGGACTGCTTTTACATCTCACACATGGGAGCAGGAGGTCAGCACTTGGTCAACCTCTGCTGTGTTCCCAAGTGCATTAGCAGGGAGCTGCATCAGCAGTGGAGCGAGACTCGAACTGGCACCTACAGGAGATGCTGGCAATTGCAGGTGGCAGGATTGCCTGTCAGACCTCAATGCCAGCCCGTTTCTAAGGTTAGCCCATGATTACTGCAAGGAAAAGAATTTTTTTTTTTAATAGCAGTTAACTGTTAGGGTTACTTTAAAATTCAAACTAAATGAGAACCATGTTTGGCCTATGGAGACATGAAAATTAATGCTAACGTGGCACGTGGTAGGGAAGGGTAATCATTAGGAGAGACCGAGAGAGGGATCTTCCATCCGCTGTTTTATTCCTCAAATGGCTGTAATGGCCAGAGCTGGGCCTGTCAGAACCTGGGAGCCAGGAACTTCTTTCAGATCTCCCACTGGGTGATTCTAACATCCTCTGCAGCTTTCCCAGTCCATCAGTAGGGGGCAGGACTGAAAGTTGACCATCAGGTACTAGAAACAGAGTCCACAAGGGATGCCAGCAGTACAGCCAGGAGATGAGCTTGCTAAGCCACCGCAGCAGTCCCAACACAATGAAGGTTAAAGAACAAATACACTAGCATGTGTTGCTCACCTTTAAAGCTCCATAGCACAATCCATACAGTAAGGCAACAGCCACAATGCTACAGACACAGCTGTACAGTGCTGCAAGCAGGCTGGTCGTGGCTGAAAGGAAGGAAGAAAGATACTAGTCATCTGTAAATATCCACAGATGTTAAAAAGTTACTAAAAAGCATTTAGGATGCTACAGTTAATACAGTTAAATATCTACTAATTTGATATTTTCTTTAAATTCAGTTAGTTTCAAAAGATTTTGACATGACAAAGATCTGCTGTCCTTACTCTGCTTCTAAACAAAAATAACTTTGTATTAGAAGTAATGAACATTAATATGTAGCAGAAAGAAATTACGCCTGTACTGTATTATATTTGAACAATATATCTCACATTGATAAAAAGTACTGGATAATAAAGTCTACAGAGGCCTGGGAAGAAATTGACCATGTATTAATTAATTGTATGACCACGTGTTAATTAATTCACTTGCTAATTACTGACAAGACAATCACCAAAACAAAACAAAACAAAAAATCCAATGAGATTGTTAGTAATAAAGAATAGAACAATTAAAGATCTAGATTTATTTTTAAACTACGGATGACAGATTTTCTTTAGTGGTAATTTTAGATGATGATCATACAAGAAATATGTAGAAAGAAATTGCTTTACAAAATATAAAGCTCTCAACATCTTGCACAAGCTTGTAAATTACTAAGTCCCCTATTATTAATAACCTACACTATGCTTTCCCCACAGTATCTGCATGAATTTAAAACCCACACTAGTATGTAAATACTAGCACTGCCTTTCATCCATTTAATCATGCGGATTACAGAATTAGCTTTGACTTAATTTACATGTCTTCATATACATGGGAAGGCTTCATTTCTATTTAAAATTTAAGCTATAATATCAACATTATCAGTAGAGATGATTTAAATGCACATAACTGGAAGATGAATGAGGAATGCTAAATGTGAGATATGAAAATCATTATAAAGTTTCAATAATCTCCTTCATTTTCATATATTTTCTCTAGCCAGCACATTCACCTTTTAGTAAAGCCATAAACCACCTAAACTAAATAATGTTGTATTTTAATCATCGTGGCTAAGAGATTGCTTTCAAGTTCTGCAAAACACTGACCATTTTAGAGTAACAGTGTGTTCTCAACTCATTTTTTTCACACAACACATACATATGGGAACAGGATTTCACCTGCTGGTTAAGAGGTCTACATCCTACATTCAAGTGTCTGCATTTGAAACAGTTTCAGCTTCTCTCTCTCTCTCTCTCTCTTTTTTTTTTAAAGATTTATTTATTCATATTGGAAAGGCAGATCAAATTTATGGAGAGAAAGAGATACAGAAAGATCTTCCAAATGCTGGTTCACTCCCCAAATGGCCACAACAGCTGGAGCTGAAGCCAGGAACCAAGATATTCTTCTGGGTCTCCCAAGCAGGTGGGTCGCAGGGCTTTGAGCCATCTTCCACTGCTTTCCCAGGTCAGAAACAGGGAAGTGGAGCAGCCAGGACATGAACCAGCACCCACACTGGCCCTTGCAAGGTGAGGACTTAGACTCTTGTATCCCATCAATGCAGACCTCTGGGAAGCAACACTGATGTTTCAAATAACTGGGTTCCTGTCATTCACATGGGAGGCCTGGTCAGAAGTCCTGCTTCCAGCGTCAGTATCATCTAGTCCCATCTGTTGTAGGCTTTTAGGGGATGCATGAGTAAATGAGAGCTCTCTGCCACCCTAACAAATTACATACACATATACATACACATGAATAAATTCATCAAGTATATCAATTCGTATCTACAAATTCTACTCTAAAAGCAGTGTTCTCTAAAACTTATTTAGCAAAATATTTTCAGATTCTGGTTTTGCTGTTTTCATTCTAATGACACAGCAAACTATAGAAACATGTCACATAAAGAAATGGGTTCAAAATCCAAATCTACTAGTAATCTATCTGGGACAGATGACCATTCCCCAAGTTCCCCAAGTCCACAGGCCCTGTGCAATCTCACAATGACTTCCTCTCAGACACTGTTGTACCACTTCTTACACTTGTACTAATGTAGCAGACTTGACTACTTTTTCTTATGTACAAATGAATGACTTCTCAGTCTTTATTTGTCAGTTTTTTTTCTAATACCAACTATAATACTGTTTATTATTTAGTGATCTACAGAAGCAATGCTACAATTCGTAATTTCAGTACAAAAGCACTCACCATTACCACCAAAGATATGGATATCCAATTGTTCACAAAGGTACATGACAAATGTGTTGACCTGAGGCAGGAGACCAACGAAAAACACTACTGGGAAACAGAGAGTAAACACTAGAGAAGAGAGAAAAGCATATAAAAAATTATACTATATCCATTGTCTTGTTTATTAAAAGATATAAACAATGAAAAGGAATCCAAAAACTATTACGTCAATTTTAAATGACAGTGTTTAACATATTTTACTTAACTTGCTGGGTCTTAACATCTTTTCAACTATTAACACCTCTTAAAGTTATTTCAAACGTTTACCATAATGGGACCTAAGATAGAAAAACAAACAACAAAAATGCATTTCTACTGCACCTGCTTCAGGATAGATCATGTGTTAAGTTCATTAGTAGTGTCTCATTCATAATAGCTACAGGCTTGTGCTGCAAAGAAAATTACAGTAAACTGCAAACAGGCTAATTAAAACTATCTAACGCACATAACTCATCTATTCAGCAAATGAGCTGCTTGTACACAAACAGATTCACGTTTAACATCAAATATACTTTAACGACTCACCTATAACTAAATCCCTGGCTGATACGAACACCAATGGATTGGTGAGGGTTATTCCATATAATTTAAACTTAGTTGTTGTAAGATTTCTGCTGCCATAATCCAAGAGCCAGATAAGACCACAACATAAACAGAAATAAACTGGTCGACTGTAGGCAATAATACGATTATGACCCTGAAAGAGACATAAAATTCAGCTTAGTTAATTTTATGAATCATGACTAGCTACTGAGATCTCCAAAGGCTTATAGTCTAAGCATACACAATTTCTTAAAAGGAAATCTTTTTTTAAAAATTATTTTTGAGAGAGTGCATGATTCCCATACATTGAGTTCCTCCTCTAAACTCATGTAGAACCTGGAGAGAGGCTGGAGTCAGGAGCCAGGAATTCAGTTCCTGTGAGTCATCGCTCACTGCCCACAGGGAGTGCACAAGCAGAAACTGGAAGTCACTGGCAGCAGTCAGGATGAAACCCAGGCATTCTGCTACGTCATCAGAAAACATCCACAATGGAAGCAACCTTCTGATGGTTGCAGAGAAAACAACAAGAACACAAGGGCATGCTAAAATTTCACAGAAAAATCGAACTAAAAGTATAAGCTTACTCAGGGGTAGAATTTTTTTTTTGTAATACATGGAGAATGAATATTATGAAAAACACTGCACTGACTTTAAAAATTTGCACTGAAAACTGTTTAATTCTAACTTCCATGAACTTCTGGCAATAACCTCACAAAACGGAGGAAGAACAGAATAAACCCTGAGATACAAGGCCAAGATTAAGGTATTGATATAAACTCATTTTTAGTTTGTATAAATATGGATACAGGACAAGCAAGACACATGAAATTATTTGCCTATTTATCTGTTAACTGTAATAGAAGAGAAAACAACAAGCATTACGTAGAGCAGCAGTCCTGGAGGGATTAGGAGGGCTTGTTCTTTAGAGCTCAGTTGGCAATGTCTAGACACAGTTTTGTTGCCCATCTGGAGCGGGGATGTTATCAACATCTAGTGGGTGCCAGTCTGCACAGGATACAGCCTCCACTCTCAGCTAATTAATATTACAGGGTTTTGAGAAACCCTGCAGACACTACCTTTGTCCAAAAGACTAAAGTTAATAACATAACTAGCAACAGGATAAATCAACTTTATGTAATTCTTGATATTGTATGCTGAGAATATTACTTTCAGAGTATTCCTATCTGAAAATCCACACAATAACAGAGAAACATCAGAAAAACTCAAGTAAAGGGAGAGTCTACAAAGCAACATTTTAACACCAGGAAACAGAAATACTGAGGAACTGCTCCAGATTAAATGAGATGTAAGAGAGCAACCACATAACCAGGGCAACTTCCTGTTTTTCAATATTCAAAACGTAGTAAATGGAACTAATCAAGTAATCATCCATGTATATCAGTCATTGTTACCTCACTGATATGTTTCTTATATGAAAACATAAATTGTTCTCCTCATTTTTAACCAAGACTTGAAGCACAGCAGTTTCCCTTCATGCTAATAAATCATCTATAAAGCAAATCAAAACTTGCATGATGAAGTAACATAAATCTTAATTCAACCTCACAGATGCTCAGAAAAATGTACCAACTTATCTTGATGAACGTTAGAAACTGTAAGATAGAGCCACTTGAAGAACGACTTACATGTCTGGGAGAAGAAGAATCTGGCTGAACGCTCTAATAAAAAAACAAAAAGACAGATCTTAGTCCTGAGGACACAGTTACTTTGTGACATTCAAAATGCCTAAAATGATTCCAACTGAATATTTCACAACCAAGAAATAATCTACATGAATTCTGCCTTTATGATGAAGCATCAGTACCAAATACAGCTGTCACTGTGAACTTAAAAACACCTCAAATCTTTTCTGACTCTTACTACTTATTTTGTTATATGCAAATTAGCAATTTATACTTAACGCTTCTGAAATGGCATGCTAACAGATTCATCTCACTGCTTGGCAAAATATCCCACCTAAATATAGTTATGGTAAATTCTCCCTCGTGGGACATTATTTCAATCAGGAGTTGCATAGTAACACAGGTTAGATTATTTTTAAATTCTATACGGCTTTTTTTCAAAATTCTAGTTCTCCCTACAAATTCCAAGCTTACAACATGAGTCAATGGTATTTTTATCTGTACTCTACTTCAAAATAATATAGCATATTCAGCAGTTAACTTCCCAAACATTACAAAAGTAGCATACAATCACTTCTGAGATCATGATCCTTGTCCCAGTTCCCACCCAAAGGTATGGCAAACAATTTTACAAGGATGCTCAATCACCACCCTGTACTTCTTTCTACAGTGGACCAGATTCAATGAGTCTGGCACTTGGCCCTTGGCTGGAATAGAGATCAGATTATCTTTAAATTTTGTGAACTTCAACATTATTCTCTAAAAGCTTTTATTCCTGCCTCTTTTGTTTCTGTTTTTACATTACTATCCTTCGAGTCAACTAGATTCAAAAACCTCAATCACTTGCAATGTTTTCCATATTTGACCAAAATTAACATGAAGGCAGGGGATCAAAATACTAGGAAAAGGCCTTTAGAGAATGGAGTGAACTTAAAAAGTTTAAGGCAAATACAGGATGTATTAAGGTGGTTGAAATGAAAGCTGAAAAGGAAAGCTATTAACTTTAACATGGAACCAGCAAAGTAATCCAAGGCATTTGTTTCCACACTTGTCAGGCATCAAGAAAAAAGCTGTAGAGAGGAACCAAGATTTTGAGTTGTCAAAACCAAAACAACTGGAAAACACTAATCAGAAAATGATACTATGATACTTCCTTATTTTTTCAAAGATTTATTCATTCTGAAAGCAGAGTTAGGAAGGAGAAGGAGGGGAGGGGAAACAGACGGGGAAGGAGAAATCTTCCTTCAGCTGGTTTATGCCCCAGATGATTGCAACAAGCAGGCCTGAGCTGACCAAAGCCAGGAACTTCATCTGGGTCTCTCCCTTATGGATGGTAGGAGCACAAACATGTGGGCCAGCTTCTGCTGCTGTTCCCAGACTACTAGCATGGGGCTGGCCCAGGGAAGCAGCCAGATCTTGAACTGGGGCCCTTATGGGATGCTGTCATCAGAAGCATTGCTTTTACATGCTACATCACAACATCAGCCCCAACACTGTGCTGTTCCAAGAACTACCTGTTAGTTGTACAGGATGGAAAGTTGGAAAAGGGGTAAAAATATCAAGATAAAATATGTACATAATTCATATACAGGGAAAATAAGTCAAGTAATGAGAGAATGACTTCAGGGAAATTAATCTTAACTGAAGGTCAAACAAAACTCCAGGGAATGCTCTTAAATGAAAGCCACTGAATGAACAAAGAGGCATCAACAAAGTGCATGGTTGTTCTTATTTTAACAAATATACAAACATTTTTAAAAGATTTATTTTTATTTGAAAGGCAGATTTACAAAAAGAAGAGACAGAGAGAAAAATCTTCCATTGCTGGTTCACTCCCAAAAGGCCACAATGGCCAGAGCTGAGCCCATCCAAAGTCAAGAACCAGGAGCTGGGCCCGACGGCGTGGCCTAGCGGCTAAAGTCCTCGCCTTGAACATACCAGGATCCCATATGGGCGCTGGTTCTAATCCAGGCAGCTCCACTTCCCATCCAGCTCCCTGCTTGTGGCTTGGGAAAGCAGTCAAGGACGGCCCAGAGCTTTGGGACCCTGCACCTGCCTGGGAGACTCAGAAGAAGTTCCTGGATCCTGGCTTCAGATCGGCCGTGGCGGCTCACTTGGGGAGTGAATCATTGGACGGATGATCTTCCTCTCTGTCTCTCCTCCTCTATGTATATCTGACTTTCCAATAAATGATAAATCTTAAAAAAAAAAAAAAAAAAAAAAAGAAGAAGAAGAAGAACCAGGAGCTTCAAAAAAAAGAACCAGGAGCTTCTTCCAGGTCTCCCACACCATACAAGGGCTCATGGACTTGGGCCCTCCTCTGCTGCTTTCCCAAGCCACAAGTAGGCAGCTGGATGGCAAGTGGAGCAGCCAGCACACAAACTGGTAACCGTATGGGATACAGGCGCTTACAAGCTGAAGACTATTCTGTAGAGCCACCATGCTGGCTCCCAAACATCTTTTACTTCAAGGAAAGTCTCTAGGAAGCTTCACCTACATGTAATTATGGTTTTGTGTTAAGTTTATATTCTCCTTTTGCTCTAAACATAATCTCAGGTAAACACTCATATAATCTCGGGTAAAGTCAATCTACAATTTACTACAATCCAACCAATGGTGTCAAAACCTCTGCCTTGTACTAGAAAAATTATCCCACCATGTAAGAAGAGAAGATGCTGATACCTTAAGCAGTGAGTACTGACAGCTGGCTATTACCAGGCAGAACTGGAAGACCCAAATATCTCTGAAGAAGCCTTGTATGAGAAGCACGGATCCCAAAAAAGCCACAAGAATAGCCAAAATAACGGCAAGCACATTTTCCAGGATCTCACGATTTCTGTAGGTGGAAAGGTTTTTGAGTTAGTATCGGATCATAAAATTAAGAAACCAACCAGACTGGGAAAAAAAAAAAAAACCAAGACAGTAATACAAACAGTTCATGATTCATGATACAGTTGCTGAGATGCCTCGTTACTACTGGGTTTAGAGAAGGTCTTGGAACATACTGAAAAAGAAGCCAGTTTCATGCGGACACAAAACAAATTATTATGCATAAATAAACATGCCATGAAAACATATCATAGTTTTGCTTCCTACCCACAAAATCTTATTTAAGCATCTGCATGTCTGTCAACATAGCTAATCAATTTGGGTGGCAAATAAGATACACAAAGAAATAAGTTTAAGAAAAAATTTCAAAAATGCTGCTAGGAAATTAAAATGCTAATTTGCATGATAGACATTTGTAACCAAATTTTTATATCAAGTGGTTTTACCTTCTCCATCTTTTAGTCATCCAAAAAAGCTCTCTTTAGCATTAAGTACAGGGCCCGGCACGGTGGCGTAGTGGTTAAGGTCCTCGCCTTGCACGCCCAGGATCCCACATGGGCGCCGGTTCTATCCCGGCAGCCCCGCTTCCCATCCAGCTCCCTGCCTGTGGCCTGGGAAAGCAGTCGAGGACGGCCCAGGGCTTTGGGACACTGCACCCGTGTGGGAGACCCGGAAGAGGCTCCTGGCTTCGGAACGGCATAGTATCGGCCGTTGCGCTCACTTGGGGAGTGAATCATCGGACGGAAGATCTTCTCTGTCTCTCCTCTCTGTATATCCGCCTTTCCAGTAATAAAAATAAATCTTTAAAAAAAAAAGAATTAAGTACAAACTCTTACAACTTTGAGGATGAAGGCGATGACAAATCATCAATTATGCCTCAATCAAAGTTGCTGGGAACACTTGATTAAACTGATACTGCACAAGAAACAATATGATACCCAGGATGCAACAGTAATAGATGTGTCTTTCATAGCACACCAAAAATTAAGATTTTTTTTTTTTGTGAAATATCCAGAAAATATTTTATGTTAAAAGTCATGAATTTACAAATAGTAAAAGGGAAATATTCAGCACTTCTGCTATTAACTCTTCAAAGCAAGGAGGATACAAAGATCGGGTGCACACGAGGACACAAAATACATTATTTAGAGATAAACACAGGTTAAAAGAGACCCATAAACTAAAAAATGTTTTACTAATAATTCTCTGTGGCTGGTTTATCACTTGCTTATTTCTCACCTGAAAACTTTCCAAATACTTATTTTCTACAATGGGTAGAGAATTAACCTTAACACTCTAAAACTTATGCCATTTTATAATCATAACCTGGAACTAAAAGTTCATTAATGTCTCTGCACTATTTAATAGTTTTAGCAGATTAAAAATGTTCAGTAGTGTTTCTGACTCTATAAATTATTGGTACTTCTTTTGATCTTAGAATCGCAGGTACGTTATTCTAAACTTGTCATATCTAATAACTTTTTTTTCAGGTCAAGGCAAAATCTCTCTTTTAAAAAGATTTTATTTATTATTATCAGAAAGTCAGATATACAGAGAGGGCAGACAGAGAGAAAGATCTTCCTTCCACTGATTCATTCCCCAAGCAGTCACAATGGCTGGTACTGAACCAATCCAAAGCCAGGACTTTAGCCACTAGGCCACCGTGCCAGCCCCAATAGTCAATTAGTTTTAAGAGAGACATCTATCCTAAGGAAAAAATCTTAAGTGTCTAATCACACAATCTACGGTTTAGAGAAGTCTATTTTTCTAACATTCTCCTGCCACAAAGATTTCCTTCGACTTTGCCCATGGGAAGCTCCTCCCATTTTTCCGAGTTTGAAACTGTCCTCACTTAACTTTCATGTTGAAAAGGTAGTTTTACTGGGTATAAAGTTCTGAGTTAAATGGTTTGTTTTCTCTTAGTACCCAAAGATACTGAATGGCTTCCCATTTGCATTATTTCCAGTAACAACACTGATATCATTACTACCTTTGTTCCTCTGTACCTACATTTGTAGCTTTTAACTTTTTATTACTAGTATGAAGAATTATGTGCCTTTGTGTAGTCTACCTCACTTTTCTTGGGATTGGGGATCACTGAACTTCTTCAGTGTTGCTCTATATGTTTTCACCAAAATGAGAAAGTTACCCACTAATATTTAAAACTTTTTCTGTCTTCCCTTGAAGTTGGCATATATCAATTCTCCTTTTGATTTTATGCTGTGTTCACTGGAGTTACAGAACAGGTAAGAAACGTCTTTGCTTCACCGAGAACAGTTTCAATTTTTCTACAACATGTAATTCATCATTAATCCTACCTAGTGAACTTTGTTTTTTCACACACTGTTACATTCTACTGAAATAACCTTGATGTAGGACTTACTTTGTCTATGTCTCATGTTTCTACCTCACTTTCTTAACAGAGCATAGTTGTAACTGTTCTAGTGTCTGTATCTGCTAACTCTACCAGCTGTGCCGGATACAGATTGGGCTCAATTTACTTTTCTTTTCATAAGAGGTCACTTTTTCTCACTTCTTTGCAAAGCTGGTCATCTTTGATTAGATACCACTTGTGAAGCATAACTTGTTGAGTGGTGTGCTTCTGGATTCTTACCAATCTTCTTGAGTTTTACTGTGCTGTTTGGAAGTACAGGGATGCTGTTTCATCCCTCTTGTTAAGCAGGTCTGAGGTAGGGCATAAGCTACTGTTCAGGCAAGAGTTCCCTCAACACACTGAAAACCGTACTGTAAAACATCAAAATGTTGTTCAAAGGCCAGGAGCTACTTCCTTACACGGTCCTCTGCCTAGCCTCCCTGTTTCCTCTATCAGGATCTTACCAATGCTCTGCCGAACAGTGAAGGGCACCTGCTGACTTCTGAGTCTCTCTGAGCAACGCTCTCTTCTCTGATATCTTGTCTGATACATTCCAGCTTCCTCAGTCTCCCTGCACTCTCACCCCGCATCTCAACTCAAGCAGTCCCTTGGGCCATTTCCAGCACACCCTGCCTCTGCTACAGTTTATGAACTCTCTTAAAGTAACTAGATTGTTTTTCATCTCTCAAGGAAAACTGTCCTTGTTGTCAATCCCTCAATTTCTGGAAAAACCAGTTTCATACATTTTGTCTTGTTTGCGTTATTTGGCATGGAAGAATAAATCTAGTCTTTTTACTCCATGCTGGCCAGAAGTACCTGTTGGTCACTGGGTTGTAACAGACTAGTATGTCTATCATTAAGACAGCGGTGTTAACAGAGATAGAAGTTTCCTCTGATAACATTCACATCTGGATATCCTCTATACCTTAATGTCATCAACATCTCATATTCGATGGTCTTTAAGTTTCAGATCTGTAAGTCTTAGCACTGAAGTAAATAATTTCTTGGTACGGACATACTAAATTATAACAGAAAATATTTTTAATGGATTTAAGACAGTCAATGTTTGAAAGACTCATTACCTTAAGTTTTATCCCAAGAGGACTAAAACAGAAAACATTTTCCAACATGATAACCAGGTAAAAATCTCAATGGATAACTAGGAACATTTCAATTTAAAAATAAAATCTGCATAGCATAGATCATCAGGATCACACTACATTCTCACCTATCAAACAGGGCCAAAAGTGTGAGTCTGTCAAAATTAATGCCAATCCATAGCTGAGGCAGGATCCAAAAGCGGTAATAGTGTTTAACTTTTTGGGCAGCTTCTTCTGTTTGGCCATAAGTGTTTGCTAAGTCAGGGCTTAGATCAATGTCCTGTTGCTCCAATAAATCTGTATCGATGGTCAACAGTCTATTCAGTCGAATCTGTGGGAGAGAAAGCTGAAAGAAAGTCAGTGCTGACGCTGAAAGGCTTAAAATATCTTTAATCAAATCATGATTCAAGAACTACGAAATCAATTTGAAGCCTCCCTTAGTTCCTTAATTCTCTATTCCAGTCCAGTGTGTAAGCTTTATGATAATGATAAGAAACTACAGAATACTAAGTAAACAAAGCGAATTAGCCAACAGATTCTTTGGAAGGTTTTGTTATGAAAGATGTGAAACCTTAGGATTTTATAACTGCACTGTTGGTGAATCCACTCAAACCATTTTCAATGAACCTTTGATAGCATTTCTTCTCCCTGTTGTACAGTCTTTACTCAACGATGAATCTCACCTTTAGGTTCATGTCGGAATTCTTCCACATTTATTTACTCCTCTGATATTTACCATCATTTGTTAATGCTTTCCCAATTTTTTTGCTATTGCAGGAAACTATTTCTTTTAGATTTCACTCATCCACTTACCATCATTTTTCCCATCTTCTAAAAGTATCTGAATTGTTTCTGGGGTGTTGGTTTACTGGTTAAGACACCTATCCATTCCGTAACAGAGTAACTGGAATCCAGTCCCTGTCCAGCTCCTGCCTCCAGTTTCATGCTATACAGACTCTAGGATCCCAATCAGCAGGAAGTGGCACAAGTCAATGGACTCCTGCCCCTTACGTGGGGACCTCAACGGAGTTCCCGGCTCTTGGCTTTGCCCTGGCCCAGTCCTAGCCATCACAAGCCCCTAGGGAGTGAATCAGCAGATGACAGCTCCATGACTCTCAAATTAAAAAAATACAAAATAAATAAATTTAATTGGCACAACTTTAGGCAGCACTTTACTAACTGAAGGCTTCCATGCCACTTGTATGTGAAAACAATAAAAATAATAATCTTCCCACTTCTGCCTTCCTATGGAGTTCCTAAGAATATACAATAGCAAATAAAATGGGGGAAGGGGAGACATCCTTGCTTTTAAAACACTTAATGTGGGTCCAGCACAGTAGCCTAGTAACTAAATCTTTGCCTTACAAATGCCAGGATCCTATCTGACTGCCAGTTCATATCCCAGCTGCTTCACTTCCCTTCCAGCTACCTGTTTGTGGTCTGGGAAGGCAGTGGAGGACGGCCCAAGGACTTGGAATCCTGTGCCTACATGGGAGACTCAGAGGAAGCTGCTGACTCTGGGCTTCGGGATCGGCTCAGCTCCGGCTATTGTGGCCACTTGGGGAGCAACCCAGCAGATGGAAGACCTTTGTCTCTTTTTCTCTCTGTAAAAATCTGCCTTTCAAATTAAAAAAAAAAAAAAAGAATAGATCTTAAAAACAAATAAATAAAACCATGTGATGTTAATGAGATGGAGGTGACATCTGTGAAATCAGCTTGCCATATGGGTGCTGGTTCTAGTTCCAGCTGCTCCACTTCCTATCCAAGCAATGGCCTGGGAAAGTAGCAGAAGATGACCCAAATGTCTGGGCTCTTGTTATCCACCTGGGAAACCAGACGCAGCTCTGGCTCTTGGCTTTGGCTTCAAGCAGCCCTGGCTGCTTTGGCCATTCGTGTAGTGAACCAGAGGATGGAAGATTGTCTCTCTTTCTCACTCTCTCTCTTTCTGTCTTTACATCTCTTTCTAAATCTAATAATAAATAAATCCTTAACTCAATGAGTAAATAAAACAAAATACTTAAAATCTGTTTTCCATTTCTATCTCTATTGACAAATTATTTCTCAGAACAATTTTTTTTCTCATTAAGGTTTCTAAACTGTGACACTCTATACCTTAGATACCAGTAGCATTCCTCCAACTACGATATGCAGAAACTTTCAGATATTTTCATCAAATATCCACATGTTGAAAATTGCTGCTTTTGCCAATTCACAGCTACACCCTTAGAATTATACTCATAATTGCATTTCCATGAGTAGGCATTTGGTGTAGTGGTTAACATGACGTAGAACACTCACTTCCCAGAACAACCATATAACCATGCTCCTCAGTCTAGCTTCCTGCTAACGTGCACCACACGAAGCATCATCTGATTGCTACAGTAGCTTATTCCATCTTACACACAGGCAGCCTGGACCGAGATATGGCTCCCAGCACTGGCTTGCCCCCATCTTAGCTGTTGTGGTCACGTAAAAATGAACCAGCAGATAGGTTCAAAATGTATAAAAATAGTTCATTAAACTTTATGGTGTTTTACTTTTGTTTCTCATTAAAGGATTTACAAGAGGAGATCCTCTGGACAGCAAAGGTGATTTCCCCAGTTTTCAACAAAAATGACATGCTGTAACTTCACTGATTCTTCTGATTTATACATATTTATAGAAATGTTTAATATGAAAATATAGTACAACATAAAAATACAGAAAAACCTACCACATCATGTGGATAAAAGCGAACTGAGGTAGAACTGGATACATGAGAATCCGTGTCACTAAAATAGAACAAGAAAGGCTTTAGGAATTAAAATACAGCTTGCGAAGCAGTAGAAAGAAAAATCCTTCAACAATTCAACGATATTTGCACTAGTTTCACTTTTCCATATAAACTTCTAAACACAAAAACAGCGTACACTGTGAGCGCTAAGGTCTATTCTAACCTCTTCAACTGGTATCCTGGACAGATTATCTTCTGATGACAGCAGCTCGTGTGGCACAAGGCTCTTGTGAACGTGTTTAAATAACCAGACATAATAAATCTAAGCTATAATACGGCAGCCTCGGACATGACAATTCGGTTTTCACATTTAAGTAAACCCTGGATTGCAAAACATAAGGGTTTGCCATATTTATGATGTGAGCAATTGTTCTCCCAAGTTACACTAAACCAGAGTAAGTATTTCCATTCCTCCCTTTCCCTACAGTTTTCAGCACTGTACAATAAGGTAATGCTCCAACTTCAAAATCTGTTGATGAGTACATTCTGAACTAGGTGAAAGGAGCTTAGAGAAACTAATTACTGCTATTAGCTTATATTTTCAGCAGTCCTCTTGCATCAATTGGATCTTCAAACTTTAAAAACAAGTAAATTGTCCACAGGTTGTGACCCATTAATAAAGCAAAGTCCTAAAATAAGAATCAAGTGACGCTTTTCAGGAGAGTATGCTGGCTCATCAATATGGAATCCAAAGCAGGAACCTGAATACATGAGGAAAAGTAAAACTGCAGGAAGCAAAACTAACATTTTAAAATGGTAATTTATATGATAAAGATTTCTAATTTATCTGCTTTTCTTCTAGTTTCCTTATATTTTACCAACGCCTAACAGAAAAAAAGTAAAATGTGACTTGACGCACATTTTAACACACTCCTAAAACAGAGAAATTTTTCATTAAACACAACAAAAACTTCCAACTAAAATAAATGCTGAATATTAATAAAGGTATGTGAAAAAAGTCCTTAACAAGGAAATAAATTTTTAATTATACTTAAGAGAAGTAATTAATATGAGTTTGAACTCTGTAATGTAAACCCTTTTTTGATATGCTTTCTTCCATCCTGTAATACAGAAACAGCACAAAATCTATAATTAAATTTGAAATTGTGCAGATACATACTTTCCTATTACAATAATTATAGGAAGCTTAAATATTTTTAAACATACATAATAATTTTTATTAATGATGCTTACATTTTCACAGAATAAAATTCTAGCTTAATTCTCTGCAAACAATGTAATATGGCAAATATTTAAGTGAAATTTGGTTGATATAAGTATGTTTTCCAAATATTCTTTGCATCTGACATGGTGACTACAGTTAATAAAAATGCTGTGTACACCTGAAAGTAATTACTAGATTTTAAATTTTCTTACTACTAAAAAAAAAAAGGAATTATTTCAGGAAACAGATGTATCAGTTAAGTCAATTTAGGAATTCTACAACAGATAAAATATTTCAAAATATAATACAGTATACCATGATTATATTAGTCAATTAGAAACATAAAAAATTAAACCTGTATATATCCAGGCTTAAGAACTTTAAGCAAAGCAAAAACATGCAGGTAAACAAAATCTCTAATATTTTCTCACACATACCAGATATTAGATGCTCTTCTTGCTGCTGGTTCAAAATTCACAAGTGACATATCACAGCCACCAGTCTCATATAGAGTGGAAGAGAACTTACCTAGCAAAACAAATGATTATTTTAAAAAGTCATTACGACAGTCAGAAAATTTTCTTCATAATACACTGAACAACATTTCATAATATATTCCATATTAAAAAAACTACACTTTTTTCTACAGTATTTTAATAACAACAATATTCATGTAATTCAGCCCAAGGTGAACTGAAAAGAAATGGAAGGCTAGATGGCAGTATTAAATGACACATGTATAACCAAATTGAAAGTCAAGAATTGCAGTATCTTTTTTTTTTCTCCTTATTAGCAATCCTTAAATCAGATCATCATGTGAATGAATTCAATGTTACTAAAGACAACCCAACTGCAACTGAAAGGTGAGTATGGCCCTTTGCAAAACTCCCTATTCCCTATTTGATAAAGCTCAAATAGCAAAACAACAAAACTCAAAGAGGCATTCTGGGGATTATTTTTTTTTTAAAGAAGAAATGAAAATAGAAATGAGAAAATTCAATGGATTAAATAAACTACAATTATGCTGGCAAAAATTAAACTAGAGCATTTAATGAAATTACAGACTGTATAAGTCTATCACAAGAGCTTTACAAAAAATTTGGAAGCAAATCACTGGAGTTAAATATCTCTATCAAACTCAAACTAATGAAAGGTTTAGAAATTATATTGGTTGCAGATGAATACATATGAAAAGATCTCCCAAAATGAAGGTTATAATGTATAATGAGTTTTGCAAATGGAATTTTAAATGCATTCTTCACCTTGAGGAAGTACAGAAGCCACATCAATGGAAGGGAATCTCATGAACTTCTGGAGGGTTATACATGAGGTACAGAGCTGTGCAATCATGTGGGTCTAGTCTAGACTATTTCATGAGTGTGTGAGTCATGTTTTATTAGTTGAAGTAGTGTGGTTACAAGGCTAAGGAAACTTACACAGCAATTTTAAACTGAAAGATTATTTCTATGTAAAAGACTAGTCCATGATTATAATCTGAAAAAGCGTGCGATGTGGATTTTTAAATTTAGATGAACACTTGAAAAAAACACGACAAAAGGAGCCCAAAGTGCCATATGTAACTAAGGGTTTACAAAGCCATTTCAACCAGCACTTCATTCTTTAAAGGACTAGAAGCACAAAAGACACTTTAACAGATAGGTTTCTCTGAGCACTTGGGCTATAGAACATGCAAAATTTTACTTTGTTACAGTACTTCCTAGAGTGACCTTTCTATTGTTCAGTGAGAATAATGCATTCTGAGAGCAATTAGAAACAAGGCTGTCTGTGAAGTGCTCATTTCCTTTGCTGTATTTTTTCAATGGGGAGTTATTCTGCATGTGTACCAAGTAAGACTCTCTCTCTCTCTCTCTAATTTTAACTAGGCATTCTAAGCACCTCTATAACAGAGAAACGATTAGTCAATGAAAATGAAGTGACACCAGTTGTCAATGTATTACTGAATGTTTGTTTGAAGCAGTAGCATAGGTTACAGAAATTGAAAATAAAAATATTAAATAAAAACACTAAGCTGAAATCCAAAACTTATTTTCAAAATGTCAGTTTTTAATGTTCTGCTCTTTTCCCACATATAGATAATCAGATATTGGCTTGCTATCATAATATTAGTCAAAAAAAAAAACCCACTTCATTGGAACCAACTGCACAAATGCAAAATAATAAACTCATGCTAAACAACTAAATTACAGTAACAAAGAGTAGCTTGGCTGTTGTATGTGAAACTCAGTAAGAACAGAACATATAAATTCACTTGTTATTACACAGTTTGTATTTATTTCAGAAATAACTTAATTTAGTATTCAAAAGATTTAAATAAGCTTCTACTTTATTATGGGGGTATTAAAACTTCCATGGGATTTTTATTAGTATAAATCCCGGCTTAGTATATTGAAAGCAATATGGATATGTAACTAAAATCAACTAAAGGTATTGTCCTCATAATTTTCAGGCATAGCAATCAAAGAATATTGTCATTCCATTACCATGTTCAGATGTCTAGTACTAAGTAAAAATGCCTTGTATAATACTTAGAGTGAAATGGGGCAGTAAATACATGTAAACTTTAGCTAAAACAAAGAACTGTTTTTTTTTAAAAAAAAAAAGTTTTTCTAGACAGAGACAGAAATATTTAGCAATTTTATTACCACCTAAGTGTTGAACACTGAATGCTCCTATACAAATTAGTGACTAAGAAGAAATAAAATTTAGGAAATTGAAGGGAGACACAAAACAGGTCAAAGAAAAGGGAAGTTATGGTTTTCAAATGTAGATGACTTTAGTTTTACTGTTTTCCCTAAGGAAGCTTTTTGCCTGAATTTTAAACTACAGAACACCTTCACGTTCTGAAAAATATACAGACACTCACTTGTCAAAACACCACAAAAGGCTTCATTGTGTATTCCTAACTTAACTATAAAATAATAATTCAATGTCTCTCTGTTATCCTCTGGCTTTGGCAACAGCACTTCAAACATATCAAATTTTATTTAGAAAAAAAACTAAGGACATACAGCCTAAAGTTTGAATGAAAAACTTGGCTTACATTGTAATGTGCTAACATGATGATGAACTAAAGGCAACTTAAAAATAAATCAAAACAGAACTAAGTTAATATAGATATTAGTCTATTCAATTAAGATTATTTTAGGAACAGAAAATGGCCAAGAAGTTAGGCTGTGACTTGAGATGCCCACATCCCAAATCAGAACCCTAGGGCTCAAGTCTTGCCTCTGCTCCAAAACTGATTCCTGCTGATACACACATCCACAGGTACTTGGGTCTCTGTCACTCACATGGGAACCTGGATTTGATTTCCATTCTGGCTTTAACTTGGGGTATCCCAGTGTTGCAAGCATTTGCACAATCAACAGATGGGAACTTTGGTTTTCTGTCTCTCAACATATATACACACACATATAAATAAACCTCAAAAAGATTGTCTTACATGTATATATTTGGCGCATATAGCAATTTTACACAACTGAGATTAAAACCATAACCGCGTTTAGGCTTTACAACTAAAGCAAAATATACATTAGTGACACTATTCTAACATTATTCTCCATTTAAAAAAAAATGTTGTGACAAATTACTATGTCTAATTACTCTAACCTGAGAAAGTAGAAACTCAGGTAAATATTCTGTGCACATGAACTTTGATTATAAACTAAATCACCTCAACATGGCTCAGCTCCCAGGGTATGATTACCATAATGCACAGGACGGGCCTCTTATGACTTAACAGCAAAAAGAGAAAACAAGTTGGAAGCTAGAATTGTGGTCTTGAAAGAGTATAGCAGCAACGACACAGCATCACTAAAGACAAAAAGACATGTTAAATCATCTGACGTTTCTGAATTCTGAATATTTAATGACAGTTAAACCGTCTACAGAAACTAAATTTGTAAACTATACCAAATCACTTTTTAAAAGGCTGAACAGTAAAGAAAGAGTAACAGGCCAACAATAAGTGAAGAGTAATAGAAAGATAGGTAAAACTGGACAGACTTTGAAGACCACCAGATACTGACTTAAAAACCACAGAGCATGTGGCTGGAACCACATGTGCAGCAGATTCTAAGTGAGCACTGGCAAATGCACAAGTGGAATCCCTACCAAATAAATTCCTAACCCCACAACACAAAGCACATCAAAAACTTTCAGAATATCACGCAACAAAGCAAGCCTCGTCATGTTTCTGATGTCACTCATTTTCTAACGACAGATACTCATCTTCGAAGGAGGTGATTTCTAGGATAGATCACCTATAGGGCTTGTTATAATCCTCCTGTGTGAACAAGAGGCCATCTCCTAAATTTCTTGGTTAATCATTTTTTTTTTCTGAACTCTAAGCCCCCTCAGTGTGCTTCGACCTCAGACCTCACCTATGTCTTGATTTCTCATTTTTCTAGTATTAATCTTAGGGCTACAAAAGCAAAGGAGATACAGGATGACAAATTAACCAAGCAGCTTTCAGTCAACTATTGGAGGACCACAGACATCCTTATGACTGACTAAAACGCTTAAATGCTAAGTGTACCAGGGACCTCTTTTCTGAAAGTGATGATTCTTTTTTTTTTCTTTTTTTTTTTTGCTAACAATGCTATCTCATGAATTCATCAGAGTTCTAAGAAAACAGGCCTTAGAGATCCGTTCTCATTTCTCTGATAGTGTTCCATTATTACCATGAGTGGCAACCCTGAGTTTCTGAGGAAACATTGAGTTTTCAGGAATGACTCACCACATTGCAGCTTACATTATTAATTGACTTTTTTTCTTCCTAGATTAGTAGTCTGCATACTTTTTCTGTAAAGAGCTAGATAATAAATATTTTCAGCTTTATGTATTGGATACTATTTGCAGCGATAATAATTCAAGTTTGCCATTACAGGCTGTCATACAGAATCCAGAAAACATTAAGTGTTGCTGAGGATGTGGGAAAAAAGTACCCTAACTCCCTGTTGAAGGGAATGTAAACTCTGATAGAAGACAGTATAAAGATCCTCAGATATCCGAAAATACAGCTACCATATAACCCAGCTATCCTAGGAATTTATTCAAATAAAATGAAATCAGTATATGAGAATTTTGTCTATATTCATGTTTATAGAGGCTCAATTCACAATTGCTAAAACATGGATTCAACCAAGATGGCCATTAACTGATGACTACATAAACGAAATGCGGTATATATACTATGAAGTACCAGTCAGCCAGAAAAAACCAAAAAGCACAATGATACCTGCTGCAACTAAACAGACCCAACTGGAAACCATTATGCTTAATAAAATAAGCCAGTCCCAAAAGGCCAAATATCATTATGTTTTCCCTTACCTGTGATAGCTAACACAGAGTACAAAAAGTATAATCCACAGCAGTGAGACTGACATCCTGGGATTTGATCATTGTGCATTGCTTTTGTTTACGATCCTGAGGAATACTAGGGTTGTTTTTTTGGTTTTTTTTTTTTCTTTACCTAACAGAATCTTAAGCCTATGACTGCAAAGTGA